TGCCTGAGCCCAGGAGGTCCAGCCTGGGTGACAGAGTGAGACCCCTACTCCAAAAAACCAAAATAATAACAACAACAACAACAAAACCAAACAGACCTAAAAAAAAAAACCGGACTATAAAATTCTTCTTCATGATCTCCCACTGTGTCTGGTGTAAGAACTCGCATGGTAAATACCCACATACCTGTAGGATTAATTAAAACATTGGAAATTGAGGTTGTTTAACTTCAACTTAAAATGAAGACCTCACCATCTTGATTAAAACTTCAAAATTTATAGCAGATTTTACATAATATTCAGGACCACAAAGTAGACTACATATGAATGGACAGCCAGGGTGAGGTAAAAAGACCAAACAAATAAAGCAACAAAAACAGGGATTATTACAGGGAAACAGCCTTCGGTGCACTAACTAGTTTTTTCCAGAAAAGTTTAAAGAGCTCTCTTGTGAAAAAATATTCTTATGAGTAACCAAGGGGCACAGCTCCTAGACTAAAAGTATTTGGGGTCCATCACCTCTTTTTTGATTTCCTGCTTCTTTTATTCTTCTGACTACCTCTATTAGGAAAGAGAATACTAAGCTCTTCCTTCTTCTCAGTCCAAACAGAAGCAAACCCCAGTTGTATTTGAGCTATCTGCATGTTTCCTTCTAGGCAGTTCTTTGTCCTGTGCCCTTTCCTCAGTCCTATTGTGAGCAGGCTCTGAAGCCATCCATACTTTTTATTGCCCCTCGGTAACATTACATGGATATTCATCCCTGATTTGCAGATTAAAGCACGAAATCAGAGTGAGGTGAGGGTTGCCCGAGGTTACACAATAAATTTGGCCCCAAGCAGGGGTAACCCTTGAGTTTCCAGTCTGCTGATTGGTCACTGACCCGTGTTGTGGGCACACAAAGGAAGCTGCATCCACAGCAGTCTGTTGTGGATGGTTGCTGAGTTTCGCATTCGTTAGTGGGATTGCTTTGTTTCCTGCCAGGCCCAGCATTTTCTTCCACCAGTTTGGCAGGCTTGCGGGCTTCTTCTCAGTACCCTTCCCTGCACTGTGAATATGAAAGCTAGCAGATGTGCTGTAGAGAGGCTTTAAGATACCACAAGAAACCAGAAGAGTAAGCGCCAATTGCATGTGCTTGCTGTCCATCAGCAAGGCCAGAGCTGGGTGCAACACTGTGGACTTGTAATTAATGAATGATGGTGGGGGAAGGCAGGCTTTTGCTTGGGGCTGGGAAAGACCTCTGAGGGTCTAGGTGCAATTGGGAGGAATTCGGATGTTCTTTTGTTACGAGTGAGGCTGTGTAATACAAAGGAGTAGTTTCCCTTTTTCTGAATCTTCCCCTCATTATTCCAGTACTGTCGGTGAAATCTGGCTGTGATCTGGGTAAAGGGCGGCTACCCAGTTCAAACTGGTGAGGAGGAAAAAAAATCATTTTAGAACCTCACATGCTGTACTCTGGAATAAATAGTGTGGAATGTTAGCTTTGCGACAGGTGCTTTGCCATTTTTCAGAAAACATTCTGACCTGTTGAGGTCAATTTGAAACAGTTGGAAAAAATACAGAAAAATAAGGTAAATACTTAAATGTTGAGGGTGGGGATAAAATGAACGTTATGAGCTTGCTGCCAGCTTATAGTGGCAACAGGAGTAGCAGGAACAACACACCCACCTGATTCATTGGTGAATCAGGTGCACATGGGATGCTGGAGGAGCAGGGTCTGTGGGCTGATTGCTCAGCAAGAAGCTCACACGTGTATATGGGTACTTGCAAAGTGGGCTGGTATGGGCGCTAGCCGAGCACAGCTGCTCGAGAATGGGTAGTTGATTTTGTCTGTGATCCTCAAGATTCCAAAGACTACTTTCCTCTTTGTTCCCTTCCGAGGGTTAATTGGAGTAGAGACTGCAGATTTATTTCAGCTGAGAATTGTCCTAGAATTCTTTAAAGCATGTGCTGTCTTGAAATCTGCCATTTTGGCTGGGCACAGTGGCTCAGCCTGTAATCCCAGAATTTTGGGAGGCTGAGGCGAGTGGATTGACTGAGCCTGCGGGTTCGAGACCGGCCTGGACAACATGGTAGATCGGATCTCTACAATAAGTCTAAAAATTAGCCAGGCGTGGTAGTACGCGCTGGTAGTTCCGGCCACTGGGAAGGCTGAGGCGGAAGGATGGCCTGAGCCCAGCAGGTTGAGGCTGCGGTGGCCCTGACGAAGTAAGACTCCGACTCAGAGAAAAAAAAACAACAAAACCTACCATTATGAATTCTGAGACCTTGCTTCAAGCCTCCAGATCTTTCAGAATGTCTTCTGGAGGAGGCTGAAGGACCCTTGCTTTTGGCTTTCAGAGGATGGTCTTTGTCTTAGTGAGCACTGGGGAAAAACTCAGAGGAAGCGGCCCCCTCAATGAATGTGATTTTGCAGAGTTTAATCAGATGCCACCACCAGAAACTGGTATTTCCTGCAGTCCTTCTCATCTTCCACTAGTCCAGAAATGACCAGAGTATCCAAGGCAGAAATTCCCACTACTCGTCTGTCCCTTAGAGCACTGTTCCTTCCTTTTCTGATGGTAGAGCACAGTAACGCATTTTACGTTACAACCCTGAACGCAAAGACATAAAACTCGAGTTTCATAAAATGATCCTTGCTCTTCCTACTGTCAGTATACTTTTGTCATTTTTAAAAAAATGCCAATTGTGAATTTCTAGGTGGTTTGTGTATTTTAAAAACCTATGCCCTAAGGGATAAAGTGCTACTTATGCTGATTATCTCTGGACAAAGTCTCAGGGAAGCTTGGCTCTGATCTCCAGTGCTCCTTGGATGTTTTGCGTGCCTGGCCTTTGCGGTTATCTCTGATGTGGGGGGATCCCAGGGGCAGGAAACTATGGCTGGATCCAAAAGCTCTGTTATCGGAGGGAGGTATCACAGCTGGGTTGAGGCCCATTCTGCAGGGCACTCAGTGTGTGCAGTTGGTTTTATATTGAGGACACGGGTGGAGAGACTTGAGAACAGGTCTCTGGGTACAAAGCTGGCCTTTGCCCCGAGGCTCTCTGTGTGGCTCAGTCTGTACTGGGTGGCATCGCTCTCCCTGTCAGCTCTGACCAGAGCCTACCTCTCCAGGAAAGGACATGTTTTACTTGTGGAAAGCACTGGGGACAGAATCCTTGAGGAAGGAGGGTGCCATGTCCTAGTGGTGGAAGAAGAGGACATGGTAGGCAGCTGTGGCAGGGACCTCAGCCAACGGGGCACCTCCCTAGGTATCCTGACCCCCGATCCTTCCCGAGTAAGCAGCGCTCTGAGTGAAAGTTGGCTGCAGCCCCAGCAGGGTTCTTTGCACCCGTATTTGGTGAACGTCTACGGGGTGTCACACGCTGAGTATAGGGTATCTGCAACATCGTGCCTAGTAAGTCTCAGTACGGGATCTAAGATGGTGCTGTGGTAATACAGCTGAGAAGCATCTCTGGGGGAGTGGGGTCATCCCAATTTAGACTTCCCAGAGAAGGATGCCTGTAGACTTCACATCAGCAAGGGAGACGGGGCATGCCAAGCCACAGGACTGCTGGTGCAAAGGCTGGAGCTGTGAAATGGCAAGCGTGGCTGTCCTTCCAGCCCCTAGTTTGGTATCGTCAAAGGATGTGATGGGCTCACCGGAGAGGCAGATTCCAACGGTCCTGTATGCCATGGCAAATCACCACCTAGACTTCGTCTTGTCACTGATGAGTAGAAAGGCTCTGAAGGGGTTTCAAGAGCTCAGTTAGCTCAATCTGGGTCACTCTGACTGTAAAATGGAAGATGGGTTGGCCAGGAGATCATCCAGTCTGGGCAAGAAGTGATGATGACTTGAAGGCATGAAGGAGACTTAGAAGCAGTGAATCACAGGATTCAATATTTGGACAGGGGAGTGGAGGACTTACAGATTGCTGGCATAGAAGAAGGAAGTGCAGTCGGGCACAAAGAGAGAGAAATAGGAAAAGCAGGTTTTAGGGGAGAAGAGAGCAGAATGGGTTGGAAATGGCACTGGAGTGCCCCTGTGTGCTAGGTATTACCTACTCACTTCCCTCCGTTTATCTATGTATATTCCCATTTAATTTGCTTAAAGACTTTGAGTTAAATGGTCTTATCCCCGTTTTTCAAATGTCTGGGTTATATGCATGATATAGAGCAGCAAACAGAAAGTGGCTGAGGCAGCACTGCTGTTCGGATTGCCTAACTACTAAGACAGTGCTGGTTGCTACATCCTGTTGCTTCCCAGTTTAGAACATGTTAAATTTGAGGTGCCTGTTCGGTTTCCAAATGAAAAAGTCCAGAGAAACGATGACTAGATACATCTGAGGCTCACAAAGTTATCTTGGTTAGTGAGAGTTTGCTTTTAAGAAGGAAATCTCAACTTCTTGATTATGAACTTTATTTTTTTTTTTTAAAAACCCACTTATTCCTGCCATGTCTGGGGCAAGCTTTAATGGATTTTTACCACTGTTTCATCTAGTATTTTTCCTTGATCTACATCGCTACTTTCATTCTGACTGTATTCAGGTCAATATATTTGCAGATATACCTGTTTGTATATAGGTATACAAGATGATAGCCATTTTGGAGGCTCTTTTTTTTTTTTAAGAGTAGAAGGAGAAGCTGGGCTCAGTGGCTCAGCCTATAATCCCGCGCTTTGGGAGGCTGAGGTGAGTGGATTGCCTGAGCCCGCGGGTTCGAGACCCGCCTGGGCAACTTGGCAAGACCTCATCTCTACAATAAATCAAAAAATTAGCCGGGCATGGTAGTGTGCGCCTGTAGTTCCAGCTACTTGGAAAGCTGAGGCAGAAAGATCGCCGAAGCCCAGCAGGTCGAGGCTGTGGTGGCCAGGGGTGGCCACTGCACTCTAGTCTGGGCGACAGAGTGAGACTCCAACTCAAAAAAAAAAAAAAAAAAAAAAAAAGTAGAAGGAGAAAAGGTATCTGTATTCTGAATGGGAACAGAATAGACAGTATTTTCCTTTTTCCTGAATTCCTCTAAAAAAAATAAATAGCTGTATGTCTCTGCTAAATAGTAACTGACCTTTTGCCCAGATCAGTTAAGCTACATTTGGTTTCATGGATGAGGAGTAGTTTGTTTCTTTTTGGTAACTGGGTCACTCATTCACTTGTTACTCTTTTCTCTTCTTGACTCTGGTAGGTTGCATTGGATGTTCACAAAAAGCAGTGCATGGGATAGCTGCCTGAGGCAACTCACCACACTTGATGAAGGATGCCAGGGTGGAAAAATTTTGATGTGCCAATATCCTCGTTCTACAGTGTGTTCCATTCTTTTATGATCTCAGAAAAATGGTGTTAAAAGAAAATATTCTGTGAAATAAGAAGATCGTTTTTCATTTTTAATGATCAACATGCATTAAGATGGACATCTGTTCTACAGAACACGAAGTCCTATGGTCTGGAAGAAGCAAGTGCCTGTTTAAAAAGGATCCTAAATAGAAACAGACCTGAGTGGATATGAGAATGTTTGTTAGTGGCAGAAGAGTCAAAAAATGGCAGTTTATTCAGTTATTTGCCACCTGTTTTATACTAAGCCTCATGTTTTTTTGGGAACCCATCGATAATCACATTGTGAGCCACGTGAAATCCTACTCTTACAGATACCTCATCAATAGCTATGACTTTGTGAATGACACCCTGTCTCTTAAGCACAGCTCAGCTGGGCCTCGCTACCAATACTTGATTAACCATGAGGAAAAGTGTCAAGCTCAAGACGTCCTACTCTTACTCTTTGTAAAGACTGCACCCGAAAACTACGGTCGGCGTTCCGCAATTAGAAGAACGTGGGGCAATGAGAAGTACGTTCAGTCTCAACTTAATGCCAACATCAAAACTCTGTTTGCCTTAGGAACTCCTAATCCACTGAAGAAACAAGAACTGCAGAGAAACCTGCTTTGGGAAGACCAAATGTACAATGATATAATTCAGCAAGACTTTGTTGATTCTTTCTACAATCTTACTCTTAAATTACTTCTGCAGTTCAGCTGGGCAAATACCTATTGTCCACATGCCAAGTTCCTAATGACTGCCGATGATGATATATTTATTCACATGCCAAATCTTATCGAATACCTTCAAAGTTTAGAACAGATTGGTGTTCAAGACTTTTGGATTGGTCGTGTTCATCGTGGTGCCCCTCCTGTTAGAGACAAAAGCAGCAAGTACTATGTCTCCTATGAAATGTACCAGTGGCCAGCTTACCCTGACTATACTGCTGGCGCTGCCTATGTTATCTCTGGTGATGTAGCCGCCAAAGTCTATGAGGCATCACAGACACTTAACACGAGTCTTTACATAGACGATGTGTTCATGGGCCTCTGTGCCAATAAAATGGGGGTAGTACCACAATACCATGTGTTTTTTTCTGGGGAAGGTAAGACTCCTTATCATCCCTGCATCTATGAAAAAATGATGACATCTCATGGACACGTACAAGATCTTCAGGACCTTTGGAAGAATGCTACAGATCCTAAAGTAAAAACCATTTCAAAAGGATTTTTTGGTCAAATATACTGCAGGTTGATTAAGATCGTTCTTCTTTGTAGACTGACCTATATGGACACATATCCTTGTAGGGCTGCTTTTGCCTAAAATAGTACTTGAATGTATGTTTTCACTGTCACTGAGCCAAACCTGGATGAACACCCTTGAAATGTTTGTCTATACCCTAAGTAAAATGAATATGAAAGACAAAGGAATATTTTGAAAGCCCGGTCTATCAGAATGTTTCTTTGATTCTGAAAGCTATTTAACATAACTTATCTACTTCATTGCCTAAATTCATTTCAAGGAAAACTCGTATTTAGGAAAGGTTGATATTATTCATGAAAACAAAGCTAAAGGGAAATTCAAGTTCTCATTTAATGCCACGTGTATATTTGAAGTGTAGAGGAGTTATTCAGAAGCCTTGGTGTGAGAATAACTGCTTTTGGAAAAATACCAATGACTGTACAGTACAAGATTAAAAAGAAATGAACATATTGTTAGACCAGGTATACAGGTTTATGTTTGTTAAAGAGCTCTTGGTGGAGGTAGCTGGGGCAGGGAATGGTTGGCATAGAAGAGAAAGTATGTGAATCTGGTAAAAGACTGTCTCTTGTTCTTAAGAGGAGATGAAGGAAAATGTATGCGATTTCATGATAAACAGCCAAATCACTAATTGTCACATTCATGTAGCTATTTTAACTAGATGACTTTGAAGTTATTTAAAATATATCTTTTTTCCAAAGTTTAATGTGAACTTTAAGAAAAGTCATTAGCTTTTCCCCAATTGGTTCTTCTTCTTTTTAATATTAGAAAATGACACAGAGCATGGACAGTTTGTTGCTCATTAAGGTTGTTCTTGAAGGAGAAATCATCATCAATTTAAATAAGATGATTTTAACTTAATGAATTCTTAATCGGTTTTTAAACATCCAATATTGGTATATTTAAGGTTGTTATTTGAATATAGTTTACATAGAGGAATATAATAATGGAGGAGAAGTCAAAAGGAATGAACATCAAAATCTAATTCATTAAAAAAAAATTGAGTGTCTAAATCATTGTACTGATTACTCAAATTAGCCCACCTCTCCTCAGTAAGGTCTCATATATGGCCCAGAACTTTGTTCCAAGTTCAGAGTTTTAAATTCAGACTATTAAACATTGAAGCTATAATATCTAAAACAATCTATTTTTCCATCAGGTAGCTGTTGGAGATCTTTATCTTTTAAATATTTCAAACTTGAAAACAGAGTAAAAGTGATAGAAAAGTTGTCAGAATGAGGCTTATAGCATTTGTAAAACTGCATGTTTCTTGTAATCAGAGATGTGGCTTAGTTCTAATAAAGTAAGTTACATTCATTTTACAAAGCAGAGTAAAAATGTGACTATGATGCAAACTACCTCTAATCACTACAGAAGAAATCAGGTGATATCTATTGCTAGGGAGATCATAGAAAGGCCAAAATAGTGACTCCAGCAAAATCAATTGAATTGACTGTAAAGTTTTTAGCTACAAAGGCACCTGTTAGGGAAAATAAGATGTCTCATTTAATAAGGTGATGTCTAAAACATGCAAAACAAAACTAAAAAATTTCTCAGTACACACAACTGGATGATGATATTTACAATTTTTTGGCAGGTAGCTTTTTAATGTTTACAGAAATTTTTTGTTAATTTTTTTCTAATTTGAAATTTGAGGCTTGTTTACATTGCTTAGATAATTTAGTATATTAAATGAATGTCAAAACTACAGTGTCTAGGTTGTAGTTACTTTCAGACTGGGTTAGAGTTATAGATCATTATGGTTTAAATTTTCTGACCAATTTTAAAACTGTAGAGAACAAAAGTACATTCTGACAAAACAACAGGCTTATAATTAATTTTTATTAGTTGATTCCTCAATAACCTTTTGCCTTTTGGCCATATATACCCTGTGTATCTGTATTTGGAACTGTTTAAATTTGCCCTTGGTTGAAAACATCAGTGTCCCTGGCCATCGAAGTGATCTTGTTTACAGCAGTACTTTGTAAAACAATTATTTATTTGCTGAATGAGCTCTCCTGAACTGCGTCCTTTTTATTATAGAATGGAACAGGTTTAAATTTGAAGGAAATATGAAGGCGCTTCTTTTTTTTCCCAAGAAGGAGGTTGCTAGATGAGTCCTTCATCACCTTTAAAGTACTGAGAAGAGAATTTGTAAATAAAAGGGTTCCAACCTTGTAAAAAAGAAGGAAACAAACTTTTTGGTGCTCCAATGCAGGGCTGTCTTTTTTTAAAATGTCAACAAAGGGAAAATAAACTATCAGTTTGGATGGTCACTTGAGTAGAAGAGGGTTATACACAGTGTTATTGTTAAAAAATTTTTTACCTTTCGGTTGGTTTGCATCTTTTTCCATATTATTAATTTTATACCAAAATGTTAAATATTTGTATTATTTGAATTTTTGCTCTCATATGGCAAAATAATTAGTGGGTTTTAAAAAAAAATCTATGATTTTCAATAAACAACTTAAAAATTGTCAGCAGATGTGTTTAAACTCCTGCGTGAACACCATTTGTTTATGTAGTCAACCCTTAATTTGTACTACATGGTCTTTGTCCTATTCCTGCCATTATCTATCACAAATCCCATTTATGACCGTACCTTGATTAAGTTTATTTCCCTTGCCAGGAACACTATTTCTCCTGTACCTGTTGAAATTGTGTATATCCAACCCTACCTTTGCTCCTTTCTGAAGCATCTCCCTCCCCGCCTCCCCAAATTTATACTTAATCATAGATATTATTGTACTGCCTACTGATTGTTCCATTTTTTTTTTACTAGTTCTGAAGGGACTCAGCACAGTCCTACCACATAGTACTCAAATCATTATTTTTTCCAAATAAAGTAATGTTATTCTGGCAAGACACCCAACTGTAAAAAGAGATTAATTATTCAGAACCTTTAATGGACACTATCTGGCATAACATTTCACCTATATTATTTAAGAGTTTATAATTTAATAATAAATCTGAATATGTTCTGCATACCAAGCACATTATATCTATCAGCTCTAGCCCCACATAACTTCTGTTAGTTATACAGTAAAACTAAAACCTGTATAATCAAGTGGGAATGAAGAAATACAGATTCACATTGCAGCAAAGAATGGTGATTTTAAGTTATTTATTCAACGCTGGTGGCAAAATAAAAACAGTCTCATAGATTCCATCTCTTGATGAATTAATCTCTTGATTTTTGTTTCATTAGTTAAATGCTGTAACCTTTCCTTTGTGTTTCTCATTAGAAGAATAATGATCCACTGTAAATTCACACAATAATTCAGCAACTAACTTGAAGGACACATTTAATTAAGGCTTTTATAATGATATAAGTAGATATGGGTTTCAGTAATCATAAAACTCTCAAAAGATAAACTGTCACTTTAAAAACAACAGAACACATTATTGCTAAATGATACTTTTCAGAGATCACTCCATTAAACACTCACATTCTGGTATGTTGAATTGGACCATTCATAAAATTAAGGACATGTTTCAATAAGTAAGAGACCACATATATTTCCTTGAGTATACCTTAAAGTGAAAGAATATCAAATAGTCTAATTAATATTGTCTTTAATCAAGGAGTAAGTACCTAAAGTTATTTGTTAATTCATTCATTTTTGTGTGTGTGTGTGTGTGTTGGAGTTTCACTGTCACCCAGGCTGGAGTGCAGTAGCATGCTCATGGCCACTGCAGCCTTCGCCCGCTGGGCTCAGGCAATCCTTCTGCCTCAGTCTGCTTAGCAGGCCTCCAAAAAAATGCCTAGAGAATGAATAAACAGCCGGGCGTGGTGGCTCTCACCTGTAATCCCAGCACTCTGGGAGGCAGAGGCAAGAGGATTGCCTGAGTCCAGCCTGGACAGCTTGGTGAGATCTCGTCTCTACAATAAATCAGAAAATTAGCCGGGTGTGGTGACATGCGCCTGTAGTTTCAGCTACTTGGAAGGCTGATGCGGAAGGATCTCCAGAGCCTAGCAGATCGAGGCTGTAGTGGCCGGGAGCAGCCACTGCACTCCAGTCTGGGTGACAGAGTGAGACTCCAACTCAAAAAAAAAAAAAAAGAATTTCCCTTATGCTTTTGGTCTTTACCTCCCTAGTTTAGGCTTTCTGAACTGCATAGTATTTGCATATCGACAAGCTCCTTCCTAGAGACAAAAAATAGCATTAAATTTGTATAAGTTGTGTCTTTTGGGGACCAAGAGCCTTTAAATGTGTTTATACCAATAATTCCGTGATATCAATATTAGCTTAAACTTAATATTCTCTTGATAGTCTATTCTTAAAAACACTGTGTCCTTGGAAATTAGGCTTCCAAGATGTTTTCATTTATTTTGCTTGTTGCTTTTGTGAGATTCATGAGTTTTGTTCTCAAGTACATAAGTGAAAGTATATTGTGATTTTTATCTGGGAAAGATAAGTGCTGAGATTTAAGATACCCAGGCTCTGACCCCCACAATACACTTGCACTCTTACCTGCTGGGGGAGAGGTCTCCGAGACTGGTCAGCTGCTCCAGCCGAGGGTTTTCCCCTTCACGACTGCTTTCAAGGATTTCTTCATTCTGAGGGGAAATAAATTTTGATAAGACTTGATATTGTGGGAGCCTCCTAATCTATATTTTTTCCCCAATTTCTGTTTGATTTTGGTTTTGATTTTCTAGATAAGCATCACACTCCATTTCTCCTGCTCTTTCTTTTCTTGGGTTTTCCCCAGCCACCTGATTGGATCTATTACCATTCACCCTTTTTAGGCTGCCTTTAGGCATGCCAAAAACTCATTCTCAAAAGCAGGGATCCTTTACCCTTAAAGGGCTATTCACATTGTACTCCCCCCTCTCCCACTGATTCATAAAAAAGATTCAGAATGTAAGCTCAGAAGGGTCAGTCAAGAGATCATTGGATTCAGTATCTCCATTTTGCGGGGTGGGGGGGTGGGAGTAAGAAATCAAAGTCTGGAGATGTTGCAACTTGCCCAAGACCAGAAAGAGCTAGAGGCAGAGGTAGGTAAGCCCAAGGTGAGCTTTCGCAGACTGATGATAAGAAGCCCTGTTTATTCCAGTACTCCCTCAAGCAGTATGGAGGAGTCTTAGACAGTATGGAGGAGTTCCGAAGCCAGCCTGTGGTCAGCAGCCACGCTCCACTGTTTGCCCACTGTGAGATCTTGAGCTAGCTCACCTAGAATGTGGGGCCCGTGGCACTATCAACCCTACAGGGCTGTATTAGGATTCAATAAGAGTGTGTGTAAATGCTTTATACGCATTTAGTCCCTGGCAGGCAGGAAGCACTCACATGCTGGCTAATTGTTCCTATTTAGCGTATAATTTTATGATATTCTTAGCCAGGCATGGTGGCTCATGCCTGTAATCCCAGCACTTTGGAAGGTGGAGGAGGGAGAATCACCTGAGCCCAGGAGTTTGAGACTAGCCTGGGCAACATAGCAAGATTCAGTCTACAAAAATAAAAATTAAAAAAAGAAATATTAGCCAGGCATGGTGGTAAGCACCAGTAGTTTCAGCTACTCAAGAGGCTGAGGCAGGAGGATCACTTCAGCCCAGAAAGTCAAAGTGAGATCCTATCTTTTTTTTTTTTCCTAGAAAGTAGAATTTATTGATATTGAGAGGACAGAAAAGCTCCCACAGTGGGAGGAGACCAGAGGGGGTTGCCCTCGAGACCCTATCTTTTAAAGAAAAAAAAAAAAAAAAACTACCTTTAAAATTAAAAAACAAATAACAGTCTTTATGGAACTAATCCTTTACAGTAAAACTTTTTATTTTTGTAATGTTTTTATTCTGTAACAAAATATATAAGGTTTAGATATTTTAAATTTAAAAACTAGATTTTTATGAAGTAATTTTTTATTTTCTTATTTTCTTATTTATAGCAAACTTAAGTCCCTGAGAGAGTAAATAATTTACCCAGGATCAAAATACAAATTAGTGCGTGAACAGAAATGACATGGAAAATTGTCCTTAGTTCTGAAAAAGCACTTCCATTTCAACCAATTTTTAAATATCTTTTGTTTTTAATCATATTTATTGAGGTGTAAGTTATATACTCTCAAATTAACCTTTGTATATGCATAATTTGTTGCATTCCAATAAATGTATACATCTGTGAAACCACCACAGTTGAGATATAGAACATTTTCATCAACCCCTCACTCCCTTCCCTTCACCTCTTGCCCCAGCAACCCCTGCTCTGACTTATGTTCATATACTTTTGCCTTTTCCAGAATGCCATGCAAATGGAATCATGGAGTAGAGTGCATAGTCAGTTGAGTCTGGCTTTGTCCCCAGTGTTGCCTCTATCAACAGTCAATTACTTTTTATTGACTATTTTATATCATACAAATGTACCACAATTTGTTTATCCTTTTCAATCAATATTTTAAGTCATAAGCTGTGGAAACATCACTCAAGTTTATAAAGCAGGTTGTAGTTCTGTTTACATTTTTTAAAAATAAAGATTCAGAGAAGATCCTCTAGCAAAAGTACTGTTAAGGGTAATTTAAGGAGTCAACATAAAGCTGGGCGAGGTGGCTCATACCTGTAATCCCAGTATTTTGGGAGGCGAAGGCAAGAGGATTGCCTGAGCCTTCAGGTTCGAGACCAGCCTGGGCAACATGGTGAGACCTCATCTCTACACTAAATCAAAAAATTAGTTGGGTGTGGTGCCTGTAGTTCCAGCTACCTGGAAGGCTGAGGTGAAAGGATCACCTGAGCCCAGGGGGTTGACGCTGCAGTGGCTATGAGCGTGCCACTGCACTCCAACCTGGGCAACAGAGACTCCTACTCAAAAAAAAAAAAAAAGTCAACATAAAGATTCCTTGTAAATTAGAACTGGAAGCTGAAGGATGAACTTTTCCCAGACTGAGGAATAGATAGGAAGTTTCCTCGCAAAATTGGTGGGAGTGACAACCGGCTCAGCTGGGTGTTGACAACACAACCAGAGGGTGCCTTGCCTCAGCAGGTGGAAAGCCATCAGGGTAGGGCTGTTTTATTACATACAACACTGATCCCAGAGACAGCAATTTTTAAATGTTCAGTGGACTTAAGAAAACAGTGGATCTTTCATGCTTTTTGTAGACATCTTCTCAAATCTGGTATCATATTCAGAAAGCAAGTTAACATATAAAGAAGTGTCTGGGATACTAGTTATGCTCATTCAGCTCTAAAATAAAAACAGCACTCTTATATTCCAAGTTTTCATATACACACATATATATGTATTTTAAATAGATGTCATTCCAGTAAGGATCTAAATTTTAGTTCACTCAATTATATATATATCTGACCAGGGACTAGAAAATATTTTTATGAGTCAATATGCAGAAGTAAATACCAGTCTCAGGATTCAAATTCAAACCAATCTAGTTATTTTCACCATACAACCAAAGCTCTTTCTTCACACTTTCTATATGAAGTTTGATTAATATGGCAGTTACTGTTGCATCTTTTTCCAGTTTTTCATCTTTAACATTGCTATGCCTGAATTACTCACTGAACTTTGAGCTCAAGATCCACCTTTGGCTTCCCAGTGTGTAATACAGAGCTTTCATAAAGAGTAGCCACTGTCACTAACAAAATTTCCTCTCCCTGTGAAACTTGCTCCTGATCATAAAATGAATCATGCTCTTTCCAACTTTTCCGATCTATTGTTTGTTGGGTGGATTGTAGAGTCTTTTATTTCATCTAAACCTAATCATGGAAAAATATCAATGACTCAAGGTGTAGGTATGGACTTTGCCATCTTTTACACTGAATGATGACGTCTCTCTAATTTATAGAAGTTTATCGTGCATGAGCTACCCTCATAGGCTTGAAGAAACGCGACACAGACATAGTTTTTTCAATTCACGTTCCTAGCACCATATGTCAGACAGTTGGTGTGGGGTTAGAGGGAGACTAATCAAGTTGTCAATCAAGACTGATGGAACATGACACTGGTCCCATTGAGGTTGCAGTCGGAAGGATCAGGAGACTGCTTTAATAGGAGCCTTTAGTGAGGTAGCTGTACTGAATGTCAATGTTTGATTAAGGTTTAGACAAATTAGTTGTGTTCTAGCATAGTGGCTTTCAAAGACTGATCAACACTTTATTTTTCCTTTATGTTGTGACTGATATGATGTACTCCATTTTAAAATGTCCCTTTTCATTCTGTTCTTCTTATTGATTTATTTTCAAGTGCTAGTGAATCCATCAAAATGAGTTCACTGTCACCATTGTAACCTGTAATTTGAAAACCTCTCACAGATTGAAAACACAAGTTGGGTGTGAGGGGCAGTCCTTGATGGGAGTTCTTGGCTTATTTTTTTTTTTTTAGCTAAAAGTGGCCTTAGGTAAGACTCTGCACCTTAATTCTCTCATCTGTAAAATAGGGATACTTATATCTTCATCAGAGGATTGATGTGGTGATTAGAGATAACGTACTAAAATGCTTAGCACAAAGAAAGGCTCCATAAATGGTACTTATGATTAGTTCTTTAATATCTAAACTTTGAGCATTAAATGAGATAATGTAAAGTATACTACCTGTCCCTCAGTAAGTACTGGTAATAGCTACCCGCCCACGTGTAACATGGACTTATATTTCTCACCAACTGTGAGATGTTAGCCAAGTTACTCAGTCTCCCTGCACATCCATTTTCTTCTGTGTAAAATGAGGGAGATATGTTATTTGGCTATGAAACATCCCTCTGCTTATAACATATACGATTATATATATATAATATACATATTATATATAATATATATTATAACATTATAAATATATAATATTATATATATAAAAATATAAAGATTGGGGCCATTGCTTCTGATGTTGAGATGAAAGCTGGATTTACAGGCAAAGTACTTTTGGGAAAATTTTAAATTATACTTCCTGAAAGCACTAGGAAAAAAGGGCATATTCAAGGAAAATCTTGCTTATCTAGTCTTTTAATTAATTTATTTATTTGCCCTTAAATAGTTGTTTATTGGCAGTGTACTGGAAAGGATGATGGAATTAGCACACACAGACAACACCATACACTAGTGTCATGAGGAAGCCAAGAGTGGTAGGCAAGATAGCCTGAAGCCCTGGATGAGGCCCCCTCTTCAAGGCTGTGGGAGAGGGCGGGGGCCTGGCGTGTTGAGGAAGCAGCCTTAGAATGCCTCTGCTTAGTAGGCATGGTTAGAGACGAAGAAGGACTCACTGGCTGTGGCCCCAGGTGACCACTTGGGGTGTTCTTTCCTTGACAGGTAAAAGGTGCCAGGGTTCATTTGACATACTCCTCCTGGAGTTCTCCTTCTTCCCACCCCAGGCCTTCAGGGCAGAGTCCTGAGGGCTCGGCCATGGGAGAAGGTCAGCACTCATGGCTTCAGCAGGGGGCACTTGTTGATGGCATATAGGCTGATGGATGCCTCCTCTTCACTCTGGCCTCCAGATAGGAAGGTGATCCCAGTGACAGTTGCCATGGCAATCTCTTCATGAGAAAACTTCTGAGTGCAGGCCTGGCCTGGCGTTACCAAATTTGGCTTCAGCAAGGTGCCTTCTAGGTAAATGTTGTGGTCACTCAGAGCCTTGTAGATAGCAGCCAGCACCTTCTTGGCTACATACTGACAGTGCTTCAAGTCTTGGTCCCCATTAGGATCTCAGGCTCCACGATGGGCACAATGCCATTCTGCTGGCAGATGCTGACATAACAGGCCAGAACACTGGCATTTTCCATGATAGTGAGGGTTGAGGGGGTGTGCTCACCAATCCCCAAATAAAATAAAAGACTAGATAAGCAAGCTTTTACTTGAATATGCCCTTTTCTCCTAGTGCTTTCAGGAAGTACATAGCTCCACTTGGCAAAGTCAGTTCCATACTTCTTTTTCTGGACACAGCGCTCAGACAGTCCATCCAGCCCTTGGGTGGTAGTCTTGCCATTTGTTCCTGCCAGAGGTACCACGCCCTTAGCTACCTTGATGCCCATAACACTGCCCTTGGATTTGATAACTTGGGGGAGGGGACACCCATGATCTGCCTCCAATAGAGCATCTCAACATTATCTGCCTCCAATAGAGCATCTCAGACACCCAATGAAGGGATTCGCATGGTCATCAGCTGTCAGTAGCAGCAGGCAGAGGAAGTTGGTCCTCCTGGGCATTCTCAGTGCCAATGGAATGCAGGCACTTGGCAATGCTTCCATCTGCAGCCAGGACACCTTTGCCCGGGGTCATGATTCGGTGAGTGATGTCAGAGAGCTCCTTCTTCTGCTCCAGGGTCAGTGCTGGATATTGGTAGGGCATAGTGCTGGTGGTAGCAAGTTACTGGCACAAGAGAGGAGTGGTTTGCAGGGTGTAGCAGCAGAGGACAGTGGGCTGGTGAGTGGACCGAGGGGCATACATGTGAATCATCACCAGGGCCCGGTTCTGTTGCTGGCCTTTTGTTTTTCAAATGGACTCCCCAAATTGACCACAGACCAACCCAGCAATTGCTGCCATACTTCTGTGCTAGGATTCCTTGAGAGCTCCACTGAATTATAAAATGATACTCTTTTAAAGCAGAACAACAATCATTTCTTGTGAAATCATGTGCTGTTTCCCATATCTAAAGGGGGGTGGGGTGGGGGAGGATTTCTTAGCCAATTAGTGCTATAAATGGGAAGCATATAAATTACCCCATCAGGAGGCAACCAGACAGAATAGCCCCTCTCCTTTGACAGTCTTTTTTTTGAGACGAAGTCTTACTCTGTCACCCAGGCTGGCACAATCATGGCTCATTGTAGCCTCGACCACCTGGGTTCAGGCAATCCTTCCACCTCAGCCTCTCGAGTAGCTGGGACTACAGGGGCATGCCATCATGCTTGGCTAATTTTTTTATTTTGTAGGGACAAAGTCTTGCTACGTTGCCCAGATGGACCTCGAACTTCTGGGCTCCTCTTTGGCCTCCCAAAATGTTGGGATTACAGGCATGAGCCATCACACTCAGCAGGTCATTCTATTCAGATAAAAAAGGGTGGCAATAATGACGGACAACTGTTCTGGGCTCAATATCACTCTCTCAGCCCCCCTCCAACCCCTGTCTCCTTCCCCACACCCAACCAGCCTAGTCACATGTATATAGTGACTTCCTATGTGTTCTCAGTACATTTATACAATCTAAATGTTCTGTCTCTCCTAAGTTTTGAAAAAAATATATGCTTCCAAGAGTGAGAAAAAGCAGGTTGAATTCCTAGCCTGAAGGAATTTTGTAAAAAAAAAAAAAATTATTTCAATATATCGAAAGAATATATAAACGTTTTTAAAATTTATATTTCAAAAAGTATCAATAACTAATTTTCAATTGATGATTACAATTGGTTTTTCTTTCCTAAAGGGGAATCTTTGAACAAAATCAGTTTTTTCCCAAAGTTAAATGATTTTACTTTATGATTTTAGGAATGTATAGACAGTAATTTCAGTTCCAACCCTTTTAAAGCAATGGTATCTGGTAGCTTAAGGTGAAAGTATTATTTACTATGTTATCACGTTTCTTTTTTTGTTTATTTATTTGAGTCAGAGTCTTACTCTGTTGCCCAGGCTAGAATGCAGTGGCACGCCCACAGTTACTGCAGCCTCAATCTGCTGGGCTCAGGCGATCTTTCTACCTCAACCTGCCAAGGAACTGGAACTACAGGTGCATATCACCACACCTGACTAATTTTATTTTATTTATTTTTATTTTTTAATTGTAGAGATGAGGTCTGGCCAAGTTGCCCAGGCTGGTCTCAAACCCCTGGGCTCAGGCAATCTTCTCGACTCTACCTCCCAAAGTGCTGGGATTACAGGCATAAGCCACAATGCCTGGCTTATCACATTTCTTAAAAAGAGGAGCTATTAGACCAAATTCTGAGGAGATAAAAGGTAAGGCAGATAGATGGGACCTGTATCACCTTCCTCACTTAAAGTATAAAGAATGACAATTAAGTGTTAAAGGTTAAGCATTTTCTGGCAGTGTAAATTAAATTAATTAATCATGTAAGTGGATTATGGAAATGAGAAAAAATGAAGAGGGATGTCCAGTAAGAGTCACTCAATAATTGTCAGAATTTTCTCTACCAAGTGGGGTAGAGGGGTGAAGAGTGGGAAGGAAAGAAAACAGGAAGGGCGTGCACCTGAAGCCTTAGTCCAGGGTGGCCTATGAGATGCAGTCCCAGAATGAAAATGCCAGCCTTGGGAATGCATAACTCTGTCTTCCCCTCTAGAACTAGGGGGAAAGATGAGAGAACCTCCCCAAAAATATTTTTTGATACTCAGTATGTTCTGATATGGAGAACAGGAAGAACTTCTGAGAAGCCGAAACCTGGTAGAGACTCTATCCTGGGAATGCATTCCTAGCTGGCTGCTCAGCCCTGATGTCTCCATCTGCCTCACTGGCCCTTGCCAGCACTTCTTTTTCTGTTTTTTATTTTCATGGCTTGTAAATGCCACTTAAAGATTCCTTGGGATACTTGGGCAGTCAGTCCCTTTTTGTTATTATTTTTAAAATTTTTAATGTTTATTTTAAAGATGGGTACAATTCAGGATTAGGTACATAAGTGGTCATTGTACAGGTAAAGTGTGGGCCTCCCATTCGTCTCTTTTTAAAATAGCAACTCTTTCCAGGAGAAGTCAGTTAATCTGTAGTTGCCCATCTCTCATGCATTTTGGTGAACTGGCTCGTTCATATGGGCTCCTGCCTCTAGTCCAGATCAGGTGCATTGGCAGGGGGCTTCCAGGAGGAAAGGGAGCAGAGGGGACAAGGAGGTTTTAGGACATTTTAAAGACTGAAGCCCTTTGGAGGAGAAGGACAGGTTTGAAGAATAGGTATAAGTGGTCCTGGGGCTTTGTGGAAACTATTAGAGGAAGTCAGGGAATGGGGGCCTTCCAGAGAGCTGAACCCAGGGAGGTTGCTGGAGGGTGGCACCTAGGGAGGGCATGGAAACTCCATGGCCCGTCCCCCATACCTCACCTGTACATCTCTTCATCTGTGTAATATTCTTTATAATAAACTAGTAACCATAAGGAAAATTTGGGTCATTCTTCTGAGTTCCCGTTCAGGCAACAAGATGAAAGTGCACGAGCAGAGAGAGAGGGGAGGAGAAGGACAGAGAGGTGACATTAGAAGAAGGGGGAGGAGAAGAAATGGATAAGGAAGTGGGGGAAGAGAAAATGCAGAGGTCAGCAAAGGCTAGCGCTCTCTAGGAGTGGCAAGGAATTTCTAGAAAAGGGAAATCTTTTTCAGAAGTATTCAGTGAAATCATCAACAGAAGCTTGCCTAGGACTCTAGAGAAGAGATTCAGCATTAAGAAGGAAGATGGGGAATCTGAGTCCTGAGAAATAAGGAACTTGCCTAGTTACACACAGATTTAGATCAGATCCCAGCTCTTTCTACTGCAGACTGCAGCAGTATCAAAACAAATAAATGATCAAGGGAGATTTTTTTTTTTAAGAACTTGACTTTTATTACCTTTTTTTTTAAGGAAGAAAATAGAGAGAGAGAGAGGAAAAGAAAAAAGGCAGAGAAGAATCAAAAAAGGAAAGATAATGGAAAAAAAAATCCCCCACCTCCACCCTCCCATCCCTGAGACACAGTTTTCCAAAGTCCCTTGTGTTGGGGGGGGGGGCAGAGATTTTTTTTTTAAGAAAAGGAATTCGTCCCAAATGCGAACTTTGCCTATTTCAAGAATTTCCCAAGGTCTTTTAAAAATCTAAGAACTTAAAATTTCCAGTTAGTACGGTTAGTAGTTAGTTTACTTTTCTTACTGGTTAAATTGGCTTTTATAGACTGAGCTAATAACCTAAACATTATTTGTAATATTTTCTTTATGAGGAAAATGTCTTCTTATAAAACCAATGCTTTAAAGACTGTAGGCATTGCTTACCAAAGATTTGCAAGTCGGTGATTCTGTTGAAAATATCAGAAAGTGAGGAACATGCCACATGGTACTTCCCAAACTAAGAAAATGTAATGGAAGTAAGTGTGCCAAGGACATTGAAAAGAAGTTGTCCATACATACTGAACTTTTTCAGGCTGTTTGATTTCATCTGATTGTAACCTCCATAGATACATTTTATTGTAACAATTTTCCTATCTATAAATCTTAGTTCACAAATAGAATCACAAATCCGAAAAGTGCTCTATTAGATCAATCTTTGTCTCAGCAAGTTTGGCCCCGAAGTTAGTTTACAAATAATCTCCACACTAGCTACAAAGCCAATGGTTGGCTCTCTTCATATTACTGGTATGGGTAAGGCTACAGCCTCTGGGGCAGCCCCACTGACAGAGAGAGAGGGTGTAGGTTGCTGTTACAGATCTATGACACTCCCCCAAACCAGACTCAGCCTTCATAAGCCCTTACTTCCTGCTGCTCTTCCTGAATTCTTTATCTGGACCAACAGATTCATCCCATGAGGAATCCAAGATGAACACCTCAAAGGTATCTTCACGTTCTTCCTCTCTCTCCCTAGTAGATCTCTCCCTCATCTCCTCTACCCTAACTTCCTTCTTCTTTCATCAAACTTCCTCTGACGCCAGGCAACGGGGAGAACACTTGGGTCAAAGGGCATGATTTCTGCCCATCTCCATTTTTGCCATGACCACTAGTGAGTTCTCACCACTGAAGTCTCACCTGACTGTGACAACTGCCACCAGTTGATCAGTCTGCCTGCATTCATCAAACCCATTCTTTACAGTCTACCAACTTTCTAGTACACAGGTGCCTTCCTCCTCAACTAAAGCACTCAGTAAGCTGTCTCTGGTCTCCCTTCCCAGAGTTCTTAAACCATTCCCAGAATAGCCTATGTCCCTTCTGACTTCTGAGACTTTATCCTGTCCCCATCCCGGAATGCCTTTCAAAGTTATATTTATTCTTTAAAGTTGAATTCAGATGCCACCCCCTCGAAAAGCCACCTCCGATATTATGGTTAGGATCTGTTCTCTCTTCTGTTCTCTAATGCACTGTATTCTTTCTAGTGTAGGTACACATTCTGCCTTGTATTATAAATTATTGGAAATATGTTGTTTCTCCCACAAAACTTGAAAGTTTCCTGAGGTTAAGCCTGAAGATAGAATCATTTTCATATAGGACACAGCAATTGCCTTAACATAAAGGAAACATAGTTGAATAAGCCCTCCAAATTGGACCCATAAAATATTTTAGTCATTATATAAACATTGACCAAAGATCAAATGGGAGGCTGAAGCAGAAGGACTGCTTGAGCCCAGGAGGTTGAGGCTGTGGTGAGCCATGATTGTGCCATGCACTCTAGCCTGGATGAATGATGAGATCCCACCTCAAAAAACAAGAGGAGAAAAGAAAAGAAAAAAAAAAGATCAAGTACAACAGTGGTTTAATACTATTATTATTTTTTATTCACCTCCCTTAGCAAAAGTAATTTTCATAGCTTAATATAATCATCACCTCACTCCCCTAAATTTTAGACTCTACATGACCCTGATAGATCCAGATGCAACTCAATGAGCTGTCTTTTATTCCAAGGCCTCACAGCCTATAAATGTAGCCTCTAGGACAAAGTTATTTAAAAAATGTGGTATTTGTACCACTTGCATTCTTGTCATCAGACATGTAAGCTAAAAATCCATATTTCAGTACCCCCAGACCTCCTTAATCTGAATTTCTGGGGGCAGAGCCTGGGAATCTGCATAATATAAAAACTCCTTAGAGCTGCAGTACACAGAAAACCTTGAAGAAGTTTCATTCTGGAAACTTTTCAGAGAGCTTGGCTGGGGCTATCTTGAGGATTTGGTGGAGACTCTGAACCTCCTATTCGTTCCGACACTGACTAGTCTTCAAATATCATAGAAGGTGAGTGCTGAAATGTGCTTAATGGCTCATACAGTTCTCCTGTGGAGAATCAAAAAGATTGAATGAAAACTTTTGAGACTTAGAGCAGTCAGAAGACAAGGAACTGAATTTGGCCCCTGATCTGTTGTTATTCAGCAAAAAGGTACATATTTGAGATTAGGGGAATTCCATTTGAGGCTGGAATTGAATATTCCTTCAGCTTCTTTTTATCACTCATACAGACCATTCTGTCTATAAACACAGGATTAAATGTGAAGCTAAAATTCACCTAGAACTTGCGATGTATGTGTTAGGCATAGTGCCAGGTGCTTTTTGCATATTTCTCAGTTAATCAACCACCTGTGAAGTCGCTGTTTCTTATCCCCATTTTGCAGAAGAGGACATTTAGGGTTCAAGAGATTACATAAATAATCAAGTACATAAGATAGGTAGATAAGTAAACTGCTAGGTTAATAATCTGCTAGTTTCAAAGCCCAGGTCTACCATTTACTATTTGTAGGATCCTTGGGGAATCTTAGCTTCTAGAGTATCCCAGCACTGCAGATAGAACGGGAAAGAATATCTTCCTCACAAGAGACTGAGGAATGGAGATAGAGCTAGGTATGTATAGCACCCAGTGCAATGTCTGGCCCTTGGTCAGTGGTAGCAACCCTCCTCTCACCTCTCCATTCTCCTTCAGCCCTTGCTTAAATTAAAAAAAAAAAAAAAAAAAATACATATATATATATATATATATATATAGTCAAAGTAAGGGAGCCTACTTGCTCAGGCTACTTTAAATGACCTTAATAAGTATGCAGGAACACTGACAGCTCTTCCGTTATCCTGTGAATCTACATTTAGGAAAAAGTAATTGTTAGTTTCTGGCTTCTTTCCAGCTTCTGAAGAGGCTGTGATGTGAGCAGCTGGGGGAAGCCGCACCTGTGAGTCATGCTTTCAGCTTTCAGATAATGATGTGAAGAACAGGAAATAGCCACATCACTGTTGCCAGCAACCACAGTGATACTCCTCCACCACAGGGCTTTCCCAGATGACGTCAGAGAGCTATGCAGTTGGCAGCATCCTTGCCAGATGACCCCGGGAGAGTCTCAGATGCCTTGTCAAATTGAACTTTTCAAGTTCCCGAGAACTGGCACTGCAAAGATCACTCGCCAGAGAAGAGGAAATGATTTTTCTGATGATGACCACATCTAGTCATGACTGTAGTTGCAGGTAGTGTGTATCAGTGACTCTACCCATTGTGTTTGGTTCACAGTTATTTTTTTCTCTGAGTATTGACTCTCCAGGGCATGGGGTAGCATTTATTACAATGTTATGATTCATTCTACTAGACTGGCATGATTTCATTTGATCTTTGAGTTCTAGGCTATGGCCCTTTAAAAGGATGTCAGAATTGCCACTCAGAGTTAAATGCATGCTCTCTCCCTCCTGGTCAGCTGTCTTGGGTAGTGGCCACAGACACAAGTAGCAGGGATTATTCTTGATGATAGTCAGCTGCCTCATCTCTCTTTTAATAACTGATGGTCTACACAGGCATGAATCTAAACCTTTATTTCTAACCTGCCTTTCTCTTATTAGTTTTCTTAGATATTTTGAAAAAATAATTACCCTGGTTATACTACTCAACTTGTAAAACTAATTGCATTTATTGGTCCTAAATTCATTTGTAAGCCTAGGATTTGGGGTATAAATCCACTTATTTCGTACTCTTGCTATAAGTCTAGAATTTGGGGATTTTGTACATAAATTCACTTTCTTCCTACTCTTGTTCTTGATGACTTTATGGATTCTGCTTACACGTCTCCTAGCCTTGGTCTTTTTGTTTTTATTTTATTTTTTTGAGGTGGAGTCTCACTCCGTGGCCCAGACTGGAGTGCAGTGGCACGCTCATGGCCACCCCAGCATCAACCTGCTGGGCTCCAGCAATCCTTCCCCCTCAGCCTTCCAGTAGCCAGAACTATAAGCACGCACTATCACACCCGGCTCATTTATTTATTGTAGAGACAAGGTCTCGCCAAGTTGTGCAGGCTAGTCAAACCCGCGGGCTCAGGCAATCCACTTGCTTCGGCTTCCCAAAGTGCGGGGATTACAGGTTGAGCCACTGAGCGCGGCTGCCTTGGTCTTTTTAAGCAGAAGTTTGACCAGCCTCTGTTCCTACCCTGCTCTCCTCCACTACCTTGACTGTTAACATACATGCTGTGGTGCGAAAAGCTCTTCACTAAATACACAAACAAATCAACAGTAAGGAAAAAAACAACGGAAGCCCAGAAGGATGATTTTAACATGTATTTGTGCTTGCTTAATGGTACCCATACTGTTGGAGAGCTGCCTAAACACAGAGGAAGATAGCATCTGGGCTGGATGGGCTTGGCGCCTGATTTAAATAAACAGCACAGCAGAAGATGAAGAAAGAAACCCAAAGTATGGTGACTGGAGCGTCTCGTATTCTACTCAACACTTTCCAAGTTTATAGGCCTCTGAGTCTGTCCTCACCCTGCTCCTGTTGTCTGTTTTTTTCTTTGACAACAAATACAATAATAGCACTTGTACTTATTGTTCACGATTATTGAAATAAATAACTCTAACTTGGATTCCTTTATAAGAGAAATTCCATGTTCCTAAAACTCCCAGGGCATCTTTATAAAGTTTGGAAGGAATAAATATATTGTCTGGAGATGGGCAAAATAAGTCACAGAGATAATGGAGTGAGTTCAAGTCACACTGTGAGTCAGTGGCAACAGCAGATGAATTCAGGGGCCAAATCTGTGCTCTGGTGCATGTGACACAGTCCTCACCTTCAGTGGTGACATTCTCTTAGAAGTCTAGGGTACAGAAACAAATAGACTGATGTTAACTTTTGAAGATGACCACATTTAAACCCTTTTATTATTAATGATTCCACAGACTTCCTGGAATCAAGTCAGGATAACCCATTTCAAAAAAATTGTTATTTACTTTTCTAAATGGCTGATCAAGACAGTATGAAGTTGCAAACTGTTTCCTGACTCAAGAATGCAATTGATGCAATTCCTTAAACCACAAGGGATTCAGAAACAGCAATGGCAACATCCTAATCTGCTCTGAATACAGGATGACTAAACAAATTGGTGCAAGACTACAGCTTTCTCTCTCTAAGAAAAGCCTGCAGAGAACTCTAGTTCTCATACTGTTTCTGCCTCCAGGAAGAAAAACCTGAGACTTGCTTTTTGCTTGATGCCTTGAAGGTTGGTGGAGTTTCTGTGGGGTCCTATCTTTAGATATACTAGTGACTGGTGGTAGATCCAAACTGTTACCGAAGTTCTTTTGAGCCTATGGTCTACTGGCCTTTGGGTTCAGAACCATTTAACCAGTCGGATATTAAATTTTCAGTGAGGTAGGGGAAAGGAAACCTTTTCTGGGTTGTCGTGTAACAACATATATTCACAATTAATTATACTTTGGTTTCTAAATATAATGTTACTTTAAAATTATACAATGCTTTTCCTTTGATGCTCAAGGTCGTTTCAGGAGGTAGCTGTTGTTATTCCCATTTTTGTAGATAAGAAACTGAAGTTTAGAGAGGTTATGTTGCTTAAACCCAGATCTGCCTAATGTAAAAGCTTATGCGTTTGAAAAAACTTTTATTTTGAAGTAATTATAAAGTCACACGAGGTTGCAAATAGATGGGAAGTATCATATACTCTTTCTCCAGCCTTACACAACCATAGGACAATATCAAAACCAGGAAATTGACATTGGCATAAGTCACAGAGCTTATCCAGAGCTCTCCAGTTAGTCATGCACGTGTTTGTGTGTGTGTGTGTGTGTGTGTGTGTGTGTAGCTCTATGCAATTATGTCAAGCTCTTTTAATACAGGAATCACACACTGTTCTACCAATTTTAAATATTTAGTTAGATTATAGGAATGAAAAAAAAAGGCTTTTCCTTTACTAAAACAGCATTACCAACAACAACATACACTACCAAACAGTTTTCATTTCTAGTTGTAATTAAGAAAAATAAAAGGAAGACATGGAAAAAAAATCCTACAAACCTCAGTTCTTGAAAGCACTAGTCTGTGCTGTGTACCTTTATGGCTCATCTTCTGGAGGTGATGATAGGTACAGAATAGAGGAACACAATTTGTTGATTCATTGATAATTATGGCAGCAATCCTCTCTCATGTCAGAGATTTCTATAAGTAAAATATAAGTAATTTTACCTTGGCTTCAGATTTAGTCTCATCATCTTCCTTTTCCAAAGAGTTCAAAACTGTCTCGGTGTAAGTTTCCCCGGATGTTCTTAGAGGAGGAGCTAGAGAGACAAAGAAACCCTGACATTAATTTTGTTATTTAACCCAGAGCACGTCACCTAACTTGGACAAATAGCTGGACTGCATCAATGCGGTTGACTAATAACGCTTGACTGAGTTGCTGCTTGGCCAGGCACAGTGGCCTATTCCAGGCATCCCTGCACTTTGGGAGGCCAATGTGGGAGGATCACTTGAAGCCGGGAGTTTGAGAATTGCTGCAGTGATTTCCTAGGTGGTGGATGAAATTGGAGGTGAAGGATAGATGCAGAAAAGAAAGAGTCCTTGATCCTGGGACTTTACATTTGAGAAGAGAAAAAAGTCCTACTCAGTACCACAGGAAATATCAAACCACAACAAATCAGTAACTATAATGTGGTAAAAATGACAGTTTCCATTATTCCCATTTTTGAGGCCCAGCTAAAAGCCTGCTTTCCTCATGAAGTCTTCTCTGTTACAAACTTCATGGATTTTATGCACTGTAACATATTTCACTTGTACTGTATAATATTGCACTTGAACTTGTTTTTGAATTAGAAGACTAAATGCCAGGTGCCACATTTTATTGGATATATTTTTCCATTGTAAAGATAATTAATGTGTGCTTGTTATAGAACATTTGAAAAATACTAAACTCTTAACATATAAGCACAGTCTCTTGGTATATTTCCTTATAGTCTACTTTAAAATGTGCTTACTCTCCTTAAACACATAATATACAATCATACGATTATTATATTATGAGAGGATGTCAAGGCCTGCCCTAGCCAGAAGAAGAAGTTGTTGCTAACCTGATGGCATAATGGTTGGATTCCAGGACTGATGGAGCCGTGTTTAATAGCAGATAGGACAGCTGTGTGATAGAATTAGTTGGCCGAGTCAGGGAGGAACTGGACTGTCTTGCTCTTGCTCTTTTTTCTTTGCCACTCTATCTCCCTTCTCTCCTTACCACAGGGCCCTAGACACCTGGGAGATATCCTTTCTTCAGGCACCATAGCCATTAGGTAGTAAAATTGGGACTTGGGGAGGAGGAGCCCTGGTCAGGCCTTGAGGCTTCCCAACCTACTTTACCAACTTTATCGTGTGGTGGGGGTGATGGTTACAAGGCCAACAGAGAAGCAGTACTTGGAGTTCTTATTTGACACCATCAACGCCCTTGTGTATGCAGTTCCCTTGGGAAACTCACAGGATACCTGTGATTGACCTGAAGCAGGATTTGAGCATTTGCAGGTGGCATGATCTAAATGCCATCTATCTAAGGCAACCCACTTATCACCCTGACTCATACCGATGGTAGACTTGATGGAGGGTGACCATCTGGTCTCCAGAGGCCCCTCCCAACCCTCACATCCTGTAAGCCAACAGAAGCAGCTTGGGCTTTCTATGGGTTTTTCATAGATGTTATGTTGAAAATTATAGGAAAGCACACTGTTTGCTGCCCCAGGTTATATGGCCACTGACACTACTTTATCAACATGGACAATCCTACGGAGAGTTTATGGAAAGTGAGTGACTCCAGGCATAAAAAATGGATGCTAGAAATGGATGAGCTGTAATTAGTGACACCCATGACTGAGAAGCACCAGCCCCTGACACTCTAAGCAGAGTGTGGTAGTGAATGGCGGGGCCACAGCAGCCACATTGCCAGAGTTCCGATCTTGCTTTGCTAGGCATGAGACACCCATGAGCAGAGAAATCTCTGTGCCTTGGCTTCTTCATCTGTAAAGTGGGGAAAAATGAGAAAACCTACTGGAAAGCGCTGTCATGAGGCTTTAATGAATTGGTATGTGTAAAGTATATAACCCATGGTAAGTACTCAACACATTTTAGATATTATTATAGCCACAAGGCATCAAAAATTTTTTCATATTCCTTATGAACCTCAGAGGTATCAAATGCTGTACCCAAGATACCCAGCTAACAAGAGTTGGAGCTGAGATTCCAGCTCTCATTTCGGAAGCTCCTTCACCCACCTTCTTTAATACTGTGGACCACAATCATTTATCCTGGCACAGACTCAGTTACTAAGGAATCAGGCAAATGTGTTTGAAAAAATCCTGTTAGTGACTTGCCCGAGTCCACTCAGCAGTTACACTCTAAGAACGCAAGTCAGGATCATTCTGCAAAATGAGTTAGCTGCCTGACCTAGGTCAGAGACAACCTGTTCAGACATGACACTGATCTATTTACCTTGAAAAGGAGCATTATCTATTATGAAACCTCTCTTTCTTTTTTTTTTTTTTTTTTGAGTTGGAGTCTCACTCTTGTCGCCCAGGCTGGAGTGCAGTGCCACGCTCACGGCCACTGCAGCTTCGAACTGCTGGGTTTAGGCAATCCTCCCACCTCAGCCTTCCAAGTAGCTGGAACTACAGATGCACACGACCATACCTGGCTAGTTTTTGTGATTTACTGCAGAGACGAGGTCTCATCAAAAGCCCAGGCTGGTCTCGAACCCCTGGGCTCAGACAATTCTCTCACCTTGGCCTCCCAAAGTGCTGGGATTATAGGCTGAGCCACCACGCCCAACCTATTATGAAATCTTGTGTTTGAAAAGTCGAGAAACAATCTATCATTCTTGCTTTATTTGCCCAAAACAAACATTTGTGATTTGAAACAAGGAATGAGGCCAAGTCATAAAAGTGAACACAGTTACATTTTGGTCAAGAGAACCAAGTCCTATTTCCAACCATCCAAGAAGGATGTTCTCCATGTGGAAGTGTGCATTTATGTCTGTGGTATGTGCAAGCAAGTGTGTCTGAAAGTACATGTGTATGTGTGTGTGTATGAGAGTGTGTTTGCAGGGAAAAATTCAAGAAAGAAATGCACTAAGCTGTTATCGAGGCTTACTTCTAAAAAGTGGAATATATCATAGAAGACAATGAACTGTAAACTGTACTAAATAAAGAATTACCAAAAGACTTCATAATTTTCAGATGAACAAAAACTGAAATAATTTGTTGCCAGCAGACTTTCCAACAAGAAATGCTAACAGAAGTTCTTTATCCTGAAGAGATATGACATAAGGTGGAAATTCAGATCTATAATAAAAAATAAAGCCGGGTGTGGTAGCTCATGCCTCTAATCCCGACCCTTTGGGAGGCCAAGGTGAGAGGATTGCCTGAGCCCATGGGTTTGAGACCAGTCTAGGCAACATGGTGAGATCTTGTCTCCACAATAAATCAAAAATTTAGCCAGATGTGGTGGCACACGCCTGTAGTTTCAGCTACTAGGAAGGCTGAGGCAGAAGGATCGCCTGAGCCCAGCAGATGGAGGCTGTGGTGGCTATGAGCATGCCACTGCACTCCAGCTTGGGCAACAGAGAGACTCTGACTAAAAATAAAATAAAATAAAGAAAAAATAAAGAAAACCCTTGAAATCATGATTAAGAGGGCAATACATATGTGCATGTACATCTGTGTATATCTATCTATATATAGAGTTAGGGTTAGGTTTTATATATATATACATACACATACACACACACAAACACATATATATTTATTTATTTTAATTTCTTTAAAAGGTATGACAATTTCAATAAAAAACTATAATACCATAGTGGGGGATTTATCATATGTAGATATAATATTTATAATAAGAATAGCACAGAGAATGGGTGGGGGGGTCACATGGAACTATATTGTTGCAAATTTCCTATATTTTGCATAAAATGATATGATATTAACCTCAAAGTAGATTATACTACATTAAGGATGCATATGAGAATCCCTAGAGAAACATCTAGGGGAAAAACAATGCAAAGAGGTATGCTAACAAGCCAATAGAGGAATTAAAATATGAGAGGGACCCCAAAAAAACCCGGAATTTATTTATAAAAATTATGTATTTATTTTTATATGTTTAAATTTCAGTCACCTTCAAAGTACTCTTCATTTGATGCAAATCACCTATCAAGATGCTTTCTCCACTGCTCAAAACAGTTTTTAAACTCATTAATTTTGATCCCTTTTAGTGTTTCTGCTGTTTTTCATTTCACCTCTTCCACACTAGCAAAACATTTCCCTTTGAGGACTTTTTTCATCCGGGGAAACAAACAAAAAAATGTCACTTGGGGTGAGGTCGGATGAAAAGGGAGGGTGGGACATGGGGGTCATGCTGCTTTTGGTCAAAAACTGCTGAACACTCAGTGAGATATGGGCAGGTTGTTCATGTAAATTACCCATCATGAAATGGACAAATGCATTGAAAGACTTGCCAAATAAAAATTCGAATAAAAAGCCGAATGCAGCCTCTCACAACAACGCTTGCTGGTACACTGATGTTGATGGGTTCCTAGGACACTTAGTGGGGAAAGCTTGTACTACAAGGGCCTCGCCCACTAAAAGATAATTCTGGATTTTTTGGGTCCCCCTCATAAAATAATAAAAAATATTTACTAACCTGAAAGAAGGCAGGAGAAGGAGGAAAAGAGAAATAAAAAACACATGAGACAAAGAGACAATAACAAAATAGTAGCTCTAAATCCAACTATATCAATAATTTCATTTCAATTATAAGGCAGAGGTGAACAAAATGTACCAAAAAGGTAATTATATGCTCCATACAAAAAATATACTTTAAATACAACAGCACAAGAATGCTGTAAAGAATATATATGATATAAAGAAAGATACATCATGTAAACACTAAGTGTAAGAGAGCTGGAATGGCTGTAACATTAATCTCAGACAAAACAGACTTAAAGAGTATTAGTAGAGATAAGGAGAGAAAGAAAGACATTTTATAATTATAAAAGGGCTAATATATCTGAAAGATATAAGAATTATGAATACGTATGTACTTAATGACAGAGCTTCCCAATACACGATGTAACTAATGACAGATCCATCATGTTTAAGAGCAGTTTATTCCAGAAAAATATAGTTGTTTTAACATTTGAAAATAAAATATTATAAATAAAATATTAACAAGTAAAGAAGAAAGGCTACACAATTATCTCAATATGTGCACCAAAAACAGCATTTTAAAAATTCAACAACATTCATGATAATAAATCTCAAATTTAAAAAAAAGGAATACAAGAAAACTTCTTCAATCTGAAAAAGACATCTGTGAAAAATCTAGAGCTTATATTATACTTAAAGGTGAAACAAGAATTATTTCCCTAATATTGGGAAAGGACAAGGATGTATGCTCTTACCACTTCTATTCAACATTGTATTGGAGGTCCTAGCCATTATAATATGACAAGAAAAAAACAAGTATAAAGATAGAAACAGAAAAAGTAAAAGCATTCCTATTCACAGGTGATATGATTATATGTCTATTCAGAAGTATATTCTTATTTATATGTAGTAAATTCAATTTACTATAGCATTAATAAAACATAAAATGCCTAAGATCTTTACACTCAAAACTACTTACATTGTTGAGAGAAATTAAAGACAACCTAAATAAATTGAGAGTTATATTCATGATTTGGAAGACCCAATATTGATAACAGTACTCCCCAAATTGGTCCATATATTCAGTGCAATCCCAATCATAATCCCAGCAGAAATTGAAAGGTGATTCTAAAATTTATAGGAAAATGAAAAGGATCTAAAATAGCCAGAACAATCTTGAAAAAGAACAAAGCTGGAACACTTACTTTACATGATCTTAAGGCTTACTAATAAGCTAATCAAGACCATGTGGGATTGGCATAAGAATGCATTTGTTTTTTCATCTTTGCAAAGAATCAATTTTACCACTCCATTGTTGATAAACAGTGGGCCTTTTAAAAGTCCTTAATGGAGTCTATTTTTTGCTTATTTGTTTGTGCATTTGTATTATTCCTTTAGTTCCCTCTGAGCTTCTCCTTGCATCCAGGTACTCAGTGTTTCTTAATTTTCAATGTCCGCCCTATAAAATCTGTAGTTTGTTTTAAATAATATCTATCAAAATAATGACCATTATCCATTCTAGACAACCACAATCTCAATCCTCATGGGTGCTGGCGAAACGCAAAAGTCACAGAGCTTCCTTTTCACAGATAACTTACCAGAGGTGATTGGCTGGCTGGTTTTTGAAGATACCCATTTTGGGGAAGACTCAGGATGGGGGGCCACAGGTTGTACTGGCCGAGTCTGTTTGGCTGCCAATTTCATCAGACTGACTTGCCTCTTGTGAAATATTTCCTGCACATCATTCAGCTTCTGCAAGACTTTCTGGACTTTGGCCTTCAGTAACACAAATCATGATGAACAGGTTTCTTTGTACTGAGCCTGAGGATATGAAGCATTCCCTTTTGCCCATCTTCCCCCACCACCACCTCCTTCAGGTGACCCTCCTCTGGGCATCCTTATGCAAGTCAGTACCTGGAACACTGTCTGGCACAGGGGAGTACTCAGTAAATATGAATACTTGTTGAGTAGATAAATGTTTACTAAGCCATGTCCATTAATGGTAGAAAAGGATGCTTCAGGCCATGGATGAAAGTCATTACACCAATGTACAAAACAGGAGGATTTCGAAATAAGAAAGGTACTCCAAATAAGGACCCTGATAGAGAGAAGACTTTAAGTGTTCTAGGGGAAAGATTTGGCTAAATTCTGAGGCAGGATCAAAGGAACCATGAAGTACCTGCAATAAAATGGATACATGCTAAATTTTGCTCCGTGTGATCCCTTCTCTCTATATAAGTGGGAAAGCAATAAACTGAAGAAATACCAGGGGAAAGATGGAGTTCACAGACATTCCTTTGATTATCTGCTCTATGACAGAGGCTCAGGAAGACAAAAACAAAAGCTGGAATCTTTTAGTGACACCCAGGCCCGCTATCAGATGAATACATTTCTCCCGGCCCTGCTTCCAGCAGGCTATTTCTCTAGCTCTGGTGGCTCAGGGGAAGTGGGTGGCCTTTTCTTTGTCATACCGACTCTGGCATCCATCTTCGAGATCATTTTAACCACCAAAGAAGGGGCCTAGTAAAAGAAGAGTTGAACCCTAAGCCAAACAGGTACTCTGAGGATGACTAATTCCACAAGTGCAGACTTGGCACTTCTTCAGGGAGGCTGGCAAATTTTGCAACCAGAAAAGTAAATTTGTCTTTTCTGTGCTGGGCTACCTTCTGAGTAAAAGAGCAGAGAGCCCCAAGGTAGGACTTGAAGCAACCAGGCTTCTACAGTACAGAGTGGGTCTATCTGAGCTGACCTCTGGACCAACATTTGGGGCTGTTCTCACTCTTTAGACTAGACCTGCCCTGTCTAATACAGTAACCACTAGCCACATGTGACTGTTAATCACCTGAACTGTGGCTAGTCTAAATTGAGATGCGTTATATGTTAAAGTAGTACTTCATGAATACTTTTTATATTCGTTGCATCTTAAAATAATATTTTGGACATAGGTTAAACAAAACATTATTAAAACTGATTTAGCCTGGGCAATGTGGCTCATGCTTGTAGTCCCAGTTCTTTAGTAGGTTGAGGCAGGAGGATCACTTGATGCCAAGAGTTCAAGACCAGCCTGGGCCACATAGTGAGACCCCATCTCTATAGAAAAATTAAAAATTAGTCAGGCATGGTGGCACACACATGTAGTCCCAACTACTGGGAAAGCTGAGGCAGAAGGATCACTTGAGCCTAGGAGTCTGAGGCTGCAATGAGCTATGATCATGTCACTACACTCCAGCCTGGGTGACAGAGTGAGACCCTGTCTCTTTAAAAAAAAAAGAAAAGGAAAGAAAGAAAATAAATTTGATTTCACCTGTTTTTTTTCACTTGTTAAAATGTAGCTACTAGAAAATCTTAAACTACATATGTGGCTTGCATTATATTTCTACTGGACAGTGCTGGTCTAGGCTAGGGGTTGGAAAACTTTTTCTGTAAAGGACCAAAGAGCAAATATTTTTGCCTTTGCAGAGCATCTGATCTCTGTCACAACTACTGAATTCTGCTGTAACATAAATGTAGCCATAAGTAAAAGCCATGTGATAGGTGTGGCTGTGTTCTGATAAAACTTTACTTACAGAAACAGGTAATAAGCAGCTCTGGCCCACAAGGTTGTGGTTTGCTGATCCCTAATCTAGATTAAGCTCAGGGTCTGTTTTTAAGGGGTCTCTTCAGGGAATGCACCCTCTGGTACCAGGAAGCTCAGCTATACAATAGACTAGAGGTTCTGATAACACAGCTATGAGTCCAAGTCCTGAAAGAAGCCAAATTCCTTCCTGTCAGCTTAACTGCCATGTCAGTTTGTACTCCTGGGAGAGTGGTGATAAGACTTGGTGAACAGCAACTACTATCCAGCCCTTCTTGCCCAGTGATAAGGAAATTCAGACGTGGGTGTTCACTGCTGCACAATGATCAAGAAATCTAACTGAATGAATGATTGTCAAATTGGTGATGCCAGCTGGAAAACCCTGGTGGAAAGTCAACACTGCATGCCAGAGCTCAACAACTCAACACTTAGTCCAGACAGGACTCTAGTCACCTTTGCTATGTCTCCCTCAAGGTCCCAGGTGCACCCTAGCAATGGTGAAACGGTCAGAAGAGGCTCTCAATTCCTAAATTTCCTCCCTAAACAGACAAGGAAAAGTTCCTGTGAAATTAACAACTGCATTTCCCTCCTTTCCTTTTTCCTCTTTTTACTTGCAAATCCACTCGCCTTACCACAATCAAAACGATCTTTCCAAGATGTACATTTGATCATATACCTTCCCTGTGTAAAAGCCCTTCAGGAGCTCTCCCAGGCATCAGTATGAAGCCCAGACTCATTGTGCTGGAATGTTAGGTTCTTCGCTCTTCACTGCTTCACCCTGATTTCCCTCATCTGTCAGTACCAATCCTCCTGCTCCCCCAACACATCCCCCATCTTCCAGCTGGGGCAGTTCTGCAGACATTCTCCTATTCCCGGCCTTGCCACTTTGCACCTTCTGTTCCTTTTACAGAGGTTTCCTCTCTCTACTTTGTTTACCTGGAAAACTCCTACAGGATCTTCCAGACTAAATTTAGGCATCTTCTCCTATATGGAATATCCTGGTCTTTCAGGCTGAGCTGACGGGGCTTCCCATTTTACTCCTTGTGTATCCCATTGTCCCTTTCATTCTGCAGGTTCTCAAACCAAGGAGCATTGACCAGGGACATGTTTGGCTTCCACTAAACTGCCAACACCTTGATTGCAAGGACTGTGACTTTTACTATTGAATAGAGCACAGTGCACCTGGCACGCACTGGGTGCCCAATGAACATCTGAAGAACCGAAATTCTGTGGTTTGCTACTGAGATTATTTCACTCTCTGGGTTAGGTGGGGAAAGTGAATGAGAGAGAAAAGTCTAAACAGCTGCACCAAGAGGGTAGCACAATGGCAAAGTGTTGGGAGAAGGCACTTGAAGAGCCTCGGCCAGTGACAGGTTGGCTGCTCTGAAAACAGCACTTTAATTTTAATGCAGTTTTAATAGCTGCTGTCTCCAATGTCACAGATTAAATCTTCAGATATAGAATACCACAGAAAAATTTCATTTTTCAGGGTAGTTTTAGATTGACCAAATTGTAAAGGAGTACAGATTTCTACATCCCCTAAACCTAGCTTTTCCAATTATTAACATCTTACATTAGTAGAGTACATGTGCTGAAATTAATGAACCAACATGATACACTGTTATTAAATAAAGCTAATACTTTATCCAAATTTCCTTTTCCCCCCAAGGATACCACATTACATCTTGTTATAATGTCTCCTTAGGCTCCTATGGGCTGTTTCAGTTTCTCAAATTTTCCTTATTTTTGATGACTTGGACTGTTTTGAGGAGTACTAATCAGGCATTTTGGAAAATGCCCCTAAGTTGGGATTTGTCTAATGTTTTTCTTGGGATTAGACCGGGGTTATGGGTTTTGGGGAGGAAACCCATAGAGAGGAACAGCCATTTTCATCACATCATATCATGTGGACACACTATCTACATGCCTTATCACTGCTGATGTTGATAGTGATCACCTGGGCAGGATGACTTTTTAGGCTTCTCCACTGTAAGGTTACTTTTTTATTACCCGCTTTTCACACTCTTTGGAAGCATGTCACTATATGCTGTTTACATGTGGGGGGAGGCGGGAGTCATGCCCCCCTTCTTGAAGGCAGAGCATCCACATCAATAATTTAGAATTCTTCTGAACGGGAGATTAGTTTCCTCTTCCATCATTTATTTATTTATTCCATCATTTATTTACATCAGTATTGATTCATGGATAAAATAGATATTTTATACTTTGGGTTGTAATCCAACACAACTTCATTAATTTTTTTGGACAGATTGTTCTAGTACTGGCCACTGGGAGCATGTTCAATTGGCTTTTATGTCCCATCGTTGTGGTGTACCATTTTGTTTTGCTTTTTAGCACTTCCTTATGTTCTGGCACTGTAGGATGCTCCAGGATCATCTTGTATATTTCCTGCCCAAGTTCTAGAAACAGCCATTTCTCTTTTCTTGGAGATTAGTATTAGAAAATATGATCTTGGTACTAGGTATACCCATTGATACTTCAGTTCCATTGCTTCTAGGCCCTCTCTACTGCCAAAGTAAGGGAATACATGCCTATGCCAACCCAATATATATCTAGGAATATTTCTATATGCATAGAATGCTGACAACAAAGTCATTACTACCCCGTGGACAAAAGTCACTCTCTGACACAACAAGATATTTAAATCCTGTAACCTAAAATTTCACTCCAAATCAAACAAAAAAAAAGATGGCCTTTGGGGATATAGCAGTCCATTTTACATACAAGAATTATTGTTATTATTGTTTCTCTTTCCATCTTTCCCTTCACGTACATTTCTGTCTGTTTCTCAGAGGTGCTTTATTAAGTTGCACTCATTTCCTGGTGGGTGGTGTATTGGGAAGTTTGCTGAAGTTGGTCAGAACTGCCACTGCAGCCACACGTCTCCTGTGACCTGTTACACTTACTTGATCAGCTAATGGAGCTGGAGATGAGTTGAGACTGTTCTGCTGTTCTGTCTTAGAAATTTAACCTGAGGCTGCCAATACTATGTCAGCACCAGAGTACTTACAATGGATGCACTTTCTCTCTGTCCCATGTACAGGGAAGTAGAAGGGTCCCCGTGCCTGCCCACCCCCACCTCACTGTGAGGTTATATACCTACCTCATGACCAAAATCCACTGGGAGTAGTCAGGGGAGGAACAGCACTAAAGGAAAGCTCCACGTCAAGCTGCCTCCCCGGCCATCTGCCCCCTCTGTCACCCTTCCTATCCACCTATTCATCAAGCGTGGATTGGACACCAGGTGCAGGCTAGGTACCAGGGCACAAGGATGAATGGGGCGAAGGCCCTGTCCTTAAGGAGCTCCCAGTGTAATAAACAAAGCAGACAACAGACATTCAAAGTAAACAATGAGAATACATTGTGATTTGTGTCATGTAAGAGCAAAGATTCTTGGCCTGAGTCCATGGATGGACTTCAGCATATTCCCCAAAATTACTTATAAAAGTCACACATGCTAGACATTCTGTTTGTTCCTCCGCTGCCTTCTTTGCCCTGCTCTGCACCCTAGGAAGCTGACCCCTGTAGACTCCATTAGATAAGCTCAGCAGCTTTTAGCTGTCTTTGGTCAGTGGGAAGCACGACCAGGATATCAGAGAATGGAAAGGAGAAAAGGTGGGGTATATATTTCTCTGCCAGTGACTGCATTTTTCCACCCAAGGTCACAGTTCGTCCTGGCTGTCATTTTTATGGTCACGGCTACAGCTCTTCCTGGGTTTTCCTTGGCTCTTCAGGCTTAGAGTGGTCACTGCTCCCTCTTTCTTGCTAGCCCCAGGGTCCTTCACCATCCTTGCTGGGGGTCTCTAAAACTTGCCCATATCTTTGTAAATGGTACCCCACATCAAACTTCCTTGACCCACTTCAAGTGTGAAGAACCCTGAAAACATGTGGATCAGATTCATAAACGCGTCCACTACTCAAAAGAGGTAAAGAAGCTCTTAAAACAGAGGTACACACAGGGTGATGCGAATCCAGAAGAAGGAGGGCTGTCTATAACTCTCCTGGCTTCATGGAAGAATGCTCCTCTCCAAATGCAAATCCAATCAAGTTATTTCCCTGCTTCAATCCTTCAGTGGCTTCCTGCTGCTCAGAAAGAAGACCAAACTCCTTCATGGGATCCACAAAACCCCACCTCATCTGCCTCTCTCTGACCTCAACCAAAACACCCTCTTCTCACTCTCCAGACTCCAGCCACCCTGACCTTTTGATTCTGCATCGACTGGACTGCCTTCAGCCTTGAAGCCTTGGCATATGCTGCCCCTTCTGTCTGGAAAGCTCTTCCATCTTCTCTACCCATGCTCCAGGCCTTGGCTGAAGTAACTCTTCTCAGGAGGCTTCTCTGACCCCAGTCCAGGTCACGTTCCTCTGTCACATGCCCAATAGGACCCTGAATCCCTCCTTGAGAGCACTTATCTAAGCTTGCAATACAGTTTTATGAGATTGTCGTATTAATGTCAGCCTCTCCCACTAAACTGTAAGGTCCATGAGAGATGAAAGCATGCCTATTTCTGCTCACCACCGTGTGTCTTCAGCACAGTGATTGATACATGAGAAATGCGCTTAAGTATTTACAGAGAAATGGCTGACAGAAGGTGATATTTGAGTTGGACCATGAAGGGTCAGTTTGTCAGAATGTTCAGGCCAGGACTCTAAGAGGCCACCTGAGGGTTCTAGAACTGCTTAACCCACTCAATACGGCCAGCTTATAGCATAGTTTATCAGGTAAAAGGTAAAGACCCCTCCTCCCCCACCCCGTTCCCAACCACAGGAACAAAATAACCCAGAAACATTACCTTTACATCAAGGGTGAGTATCAACTCAAACTGGTTGTAAAACTCCTTGGGGCTGAGCAGCTGGCACTCCTTGGCTGTGCCCAGAAATGTCTCGATGTCATTCAAGGCGAGGTCAACCCCTTCTCGAGACTGGCACTTGTCTACAGCTTGAGAAGCCAAGAGGTAGATGCCCGCCTCACACCACTGGCTGACCTTTTGAAAGGAAACAGTGCTCTGTGTGCTTAGCCTGACCGCAGCCCAGGGCCACCACAATCCTCAGGAAGTCTAAGCTCATAAGGAGTCTATAAGGATTCTGAGACAATGGGAAAAGTCATGGGACGGCATAAAGTTTAGGGGATAAGACCATGAGGTGGACAAGCCCAAAACAATTTTACATCTGTCCACTTCTCAGGGAAGTCACTTAGTAAAATGGATCATATCACAGTTCTCCCTTTTCTATTGCAGTAATTGTTACTACTCCAGGAGAAGAGAACTAAATATTTCTAAGGCTGGTCTAAGAAATGCAACCAATGGCTTTTCAGGCTTACTGGCTAGGTCTTTTGTCTTACATCCTAATTGGTTACCAGAACACAGGGTGACTAATGAGGCAGTCATTAGCCCCCATATTCCCTGGAGGAGAGAATGTTCCTTTTAACAAAAACATACTTTCCTCTTTGGATTCCCAGGTGACCCACATTTGCATTTGTCTTTCCTAAGGAATCATCCAAGAATGCAAAGCTTTGTAACTTGGCACAGCAATACTAAAATTTTCTGGATGCCGGGATGAAATAAGATAGGTGATAAATTCTAACAATTCGGGTTTTTAGAAGATTTCTTTTTCACTTTTTAGATTTTATTTTATGTATTTGTTTTTTTAAGTTGGCGTCTCTGTCACCCAGGCTGGAGTGCAATGGCACGATTATGGTCCACCACAACCTCAACCTCAACCTTCTGGGCTCAGGCAATCCTTCTGCCTCAGGCTCTCAAGTAGCTGGGACTACAGGTGCATGATACCACACCCAGGTACTTTTTTATCTTTTATTTTTGTAGAGACAAAGTCTCACTATGTTGCCCAAGATGGGTCTCGAACTGCTAGGCTCAAGCAGTCCTCCCACCTCAGCCTCTCTAAGTGCTGGGATTACAGGTGTGAGCCACTGCACTCAGTTTTGAAGACTTATTTTGTGTGCTCTTTTGAACTTTACTGAGACACTTGAACAGAATAGACGGGGGGCCTTATGCTACTTGGATATTTACACAAAAAGAAGCTTCCAGTGTAAGTACATCTGTATTCCATTTACTAGGTGATCTGCAAAGCAAATAACTATACGGAGAAAAGAAATCAAAAGGGAAGACTCCAAAGTGGTATCTCTAAGTAGGAAAATCATGGGCAACTTAAATATTTGTCTTAATTTTTTTCCTGATTTATCTACACTGAATATGTACTACATTTATAATAATACAAAATAATAAAGCTATTTCAAAGGTAATGGTTCCCACTATGTGGGGAAGGGCTCCTGGGATGTGTTGGTATCCACGAGTACCTTTTTTTGAAAACATTCTTTCTTTCATTTTTGGATTTTCACGATAATATGAAATCATGCTTTGATACATGCTATGAAAACTATTTCATTGGACTACTGGCTTTACATGTGCGCGCGCATGCACACACACACACACGCGCACACACACACGCGCACACACACACACACACACACACTAGTGCCCAGCTATTATTTCTAGAGCAGAAATGGAGTCAGGAAAACAGCAGCTGATCCTGCAGCAAGCTCAGCACACAGAGCAGGCTATGCACCAGCCCCTTCTGAGTCACTTGCTTCTGGAACAACTGTATTTCATTGACATTAAAATCCCTTTGGCAATGGGATGAGGTAAACAGCCTGGTGGGTGCTCCCAACCACGGGAGAGAAACCGATATGGGAATGGAGCATGCTGACTCATTGCCACCAGCCACATGCCGCCTGGGAGCAGCTGATGGGGAAGGCTCCAGAAGTCACTGCTCCTGCTGACTGGGAGCATACCCAGAGGTCACCTCCGAAGGGCACCGGGGTCTGCACATCCCATCCCCATGAGGCGCAGTGCACACGGCCTTACTGCCTGACCTGCAGAGCCTGGGTTTGGAACCTGGCAGTCCTGACTTCAAATCTGGCTTTCCTTATTGGCACCACGTATGGTCTTGGGCAGTCACTTATTCCAGGGTTTCTCTTATCATCTCTGCACCAGAATCACCAAAATGCTGATTCCTGGGCATCATCTCAGACCTACTGCATCTGAGCATCCAGGGTGGGGCATAAGAGAATCTGCACTACAACCAACTCCCTGAGTGGTTCTCACATACTACATTTTGAGAGCCATTGGCTTAACCAGCTGAATATCAGTTTCTGCCTCTGTACGATAAGGCCACTAATATCTTCCTTATAGGTAGGATTACATAGATGACATACTGATGCTCCTGGTAGAGTAGGTGCTCAGTAAATGGTAGGGGGGCATAGTGGTCATCATTACTTAAGCTTCTCCAAAAAGATTCACAATCCTGTGCTTCTATATGAGGGATATAGTTTTTGCAGATATAGTGTTTGGTTCTCTGTAAGCTTGAAAGAAAATCAAGAAATGTCCCCACGGGGCCAGGCCAAAACGTACCAAGTCTGGTTCCATACAGAAGGAAATCGGACCTTAGTTAATGGAGTGTGGTGAGATGGCTGGGGAACTTTTCTTTACCTTCAATACCTCTAAGAACTAGAAACACCTCTTGAGCACTTTTCACATAAAGTCCTTGATCCGCTCAGCAATCACGTGGGAAAGGGAAGACACGTATGATTAAAACTGCTTTGCAGAAAATCTTTCAGATATCATGTTCATGACTTTGTTTTGCTTACCTTGTCCAGCTGTCTGTGCAACTCCAAGGACTTTCCTAAAATGTCGCATTGTTTCTTGTTTTCATTGATGAAATCATCACAGAGGTGCCTGAGCTCCACACACTGGGGCCTGATGGCATCCATGGCACAATGGTGGCTCTGAATGAGCTGGTCCCCAACTAGTGCCAGCAGCTGGGCCTTTTCCAGGGTTTCCTGTGATGGGAACATCCACAGCCCAGCATCAGAAGTCAGGGCCCCTAGCTGGGCTCGGTGGCTCAGCCTGTAATCCCGCGCCTTTGGGAGGCTGAGGTGAGTGGAACAACCCGCCTGAGCCCGCGGGTTCAAGACCCACCTGGGCAGTGAGACCTCATCTCTACAATAAATAAAAAAATCAGCAGGGCATGGTAGCACATGCCTGTAATTCTGGCTACTTGGAAGGCTGAGGTGGAAGGATTGCCGTAGCCCAGCAGGTCAAGGCTGCGGTGGCCAGGAACGGCCACTGCACTCCAGTCTGGGCGACAGAGTGAGACTCCAACTCAAAGAAAAAAAAAGAAGTCAGGGCCCCGTGTGGCTGGGAACTGCCTAGCATTAGGTGCACTAAGCTGGAAGGAGACTAGGGAGGTACTGACCCAAGTCGTAGGCTGGGGAAGCTGAGAAAGCTCTGGGTGGCTCAAGGCCTGGGAAGTTGAGCCTAGTCCAAGGTCATTGCACTTTGAAGGACAGCAGCCATTCATTCAAATACTTGAGTTCTGAGCTAGACGCTGAGGATATAGTACTAACAAGCCAGGAATTTTCAGTTTAATGCAAAATGCAGATATTAACTAAATTATGCAAATAATTAAATTGTTACAATTGTGGCCAGGTGCAGTGGCTCATGACTGTTATCCCAGCACTTTGGGAGGCTTAGGTGGTAGAATTACTTTAGCCCCAGGAGTTTTAAACCAGCCTAGGCAACACAGTGAGACCCCATCTCTACAATAAAAAAAAAAATTAGCAGGATGTGATGGTGCATGCCTGTAGTCCCAACAACTCGGGAGGCTGAGGTAGAAGCATCACCTGAGCCTAGAAGGTCAAGGCTGCAGTGAGCTGTGATTGTGCCACTGCACTCCAGCCTGGATGACAGGGTGAGACTCTGACTCAATTAACAAACGAACAATACAATTGTGATAAGCTCTAGAGCAGAAAAGCATAGTGTTAAAGTACACACAAGAGACTCCACATCCCCCTATTAACTAAAGGAAAAGGAAGAGGGACAGACACTTGGCCCTGAGGAGAGTGGGAGGTGAAGTGAGGTTGAGAAGCTGGTGAAGATCTGGTCTAGGCAACTCGAAGGCGGTCATAACACTAAAGAAATACGGTTCTCTAAACCTCTCCCCAAGGCCCACAAGTGCCCTGACTACTCTGCCCTGCCTGCTCAACCACACTTCCTACCTCTTTCTGCATGGCTCACTTTGTTCTAACCACGTGTGTCATGTGTTCCTGTTTTTAAGCATTCCCTCATCCATCCATCTCATATGATTGAAGACCTACCAGGTACCAGCAACGTCCTGGGGGGGGTGGGGGGGGATTGGTAGCAAACAAAGTAGGCAAAAATCCTTGTCCTCACAAGGTTTACATTTTAACAAAATTAATTACATATGTAGATTGTATGGTAGCTTAAATAACAATGAGTGCTACAGAGGAAAATAAAACATCTCTGAAAGGAGATTAGAATGCTAATTCCTTGGGCAGTGATTTTTTACTTTGTTCCCTGCTGTGTCCTCAGAACTCAGAACAGAATTTGTCAAGGTAGGAGATCAGTAATTATTTGCACAATAAATGAAAAGTGAACAAGAGACCCTTACTAGCATAGATCAGTTCCTGCAGACTGAATCAAGGAAATGTTTGGTAGCTCGGAATTTACCCAACTTCCTCTGTGACATTAACGACAACAGCTAACATTTACTGAGAGCTTGCTATATGCCAGACACTGTTCTCAATGCTTTACATTATTTATTTTACTCCTCACAACAAATCCAGTGACACAGGTACTGTTTTGTGAAGAAGTGGAGGCACAATGGCCCAAGGTGACCCAGTGGGAAAGAGCAGGATCAGGTTTCAAGCCTGGGCAGTCTGACTCCAGAATCTGGTTCTGACCAACATTTGAAAGAGAAAAATGGCTGCACTTGTTCTGCCTAAGTTTAGAGACCTCATTTTGTTGTTCAGACTTGCCTGACTTTAGTCAAATATAAAAATATGAAAACTTGGAAAGGAAATCTCTGTTGACTTTTTTTTTTTAAGTCCAGTTGCCTAATTTATTAAGAACAGTACAGAGTTTTCTGAGTCCAGGGAGATTCATCCCGGTATACCTCCAAATTGTTCTGTGGCAATCACAGCCTGCTCTTTATGTGACATGCGGTATCTCACCTTCAGAAGTGTTCTTAAAACATTTGAGGTATTAGAGGAAAGATGTGAGAAAAAGGTCTAAATGGACCTGGGGAAAAGAACCCTAAAGATAATTTAGGAGTATCCCTGTTCCAGTCACTCCAGGGCTGAAAAATCACTACTATGGAAATAAATGGACAATGGTAATAGCTTCTGAGTACTGAACACAGACCAAGTTCCAGACAGTCACTAAGTCATTACTGTGCATTTAACCCATTTCACCTTCACAGGGACTCTGTGAGGTAGGAATTATTCCCTCCATTTTACAGATGAGGAGACTATTCAGAAAGGCTAAGAAACTTGACTAGGGCCACCGAGCAAGTAGTTGTTAGAGCCAAGATTTGAATCCAGCTCTGACTTCAAAACCTGTTCTTGCTCACCTGGCCTGAACACATGTGTTATGAAATCCTTCTGGTTCCTACAAAGGAATTTACCATAATATTTCCAAATTGCAGTTGATTTTTAGCTTACACAGCTCCTGCTCTAGATAAATAGCCAATAAAACCTCCAAAGTTAAAAAGAAATAATCAGAAAAAATGGCTAAAATCTGGTACTTTGACCACAAATTTATCTGGCATCTTTCAGATGCTAAAAATTCTAGAAGGGTGAATAGTCAAGTTGCAAAATGTAATTAGGAATTTTTTTATTGTAATAATAGCTTATTCCCCCTCAAGGACTCTACTGCTATGGTAGATGAAAGATGAGAGTGTCCATAAGTGGACCTTGAACAGCTACTATAATACTATAAGAAAAGGATTGACAGTGGCGGGAAGCTGGGGGGGAGGGGGTAGAGAGGAGCAGGGAGGTGGGATTAACGGTAGTCAATATCTGCCTGGGAAAGGGGGGGGCACACCTTATCAACAAGGGTCCTGCACAATGAATATTTGTATACCTAACCCTTAATTGTGCCGCACAATTTAAAAAAATAAAATAAATAATTAAAAAAAGAAAGATGAGAGTGTCTACATTGGAAGAAAATGGTAAAAAGGAAGGTGATGCTACTGTATCGGGGAATCCAGAACAAATTCACAGTAATGCCATAGGAATGGGATGTATGTATGACAAGGTGGGCCAGATGCAACAAGAAAGGCAGAGAGTTAATGGTTGTTGAAATTGAGTGATGGACAAACACACCCCACGACCCACCAGCTACATGATATTCTAAGGATTTAATGGTCTGGATTCCATGCCTTCTGGACCCAGCAGCCGTGGGAGAGGTCAAGGCTAAAACCAGGTTGGTTCCCCCACCTTCTCTAGTCTGTTCCCTGTTGGCCCATGACCAGAGGTCTCAGCATGCCTCCCGGTCCAAATTCTGCAGCAAATAAGACCTTTAAAAAGGACTTTCTATATGTGGTTTGGAACCATTGTTTTTTACAATCAGGAGAGATCTTCAAAAGATTGCTAAATTCTTACACTAAAACAAGATGAAGAACAGGCTCAATTCATGCAACAGGAGTTGGCTCAGAGGTTACCTGTGAGAATGATGTCACCATATAGACCAAGGAAGTTGGCAAAAACCCAGAAACACTGTGTGGCTATGCTGGGAGGGAAGGTGACCAGAGTGCTGAGTAAAGGACAAATCCCAAGCAGGTATTTGGCATATTATGGCCAGACATCACCTTGTTCCTTTAACATTTTTTTTTTTTTTTTTTTTGAGTTGGAGTCTCACTCTGTCGCCCAGATTGGAGTGCAGTGGCCACTCCCGGCCACCACAGCCTCGATCTGCTGGGCTCCGGTGATCCTTCCGCCTCAGCCTTCCGAGTAGCCGGAATTACAGGCATGCGCTACCACGCCCGGCTGATTTTTTTTTTAATTTATTGTAGAGATGAGGTCTTGCTGCCCAGGCGGGTCTCGAACCCATGGGCTCAGGCAATTCGCTCACCTCAGCCTCCCAAAGGCACGGGATTACAGGCTGAGCCACTGAGCCCGGCTTCCTTTAACACTTTAAAGGACAAATGGTAAGGCTAGCTAAGTCCTAATCATCCAAAGAAACCATCCCTCTAAGAAGTCTGAGAGAAGCCATATTGAAAAAGGTCTTGGTTATGGTAAAATAGCTTTGTTTAAAGGCAGAGGAATAGGCATACTGCATTCTATAGAAGGTACATTTAAACACAGGGTAAGCAAGGCACAGGATGAATAAAACCCATCTGCCTGGGCTCCAAGGGCATCAGCAGTTTGAGAATTTTGCCCATGAAAGATGGGTCATGAGTTCACAGAGCATTCTGTGTCCCGTGATCACAGGTTTCATCCCTAGCTCTGGTCAGCAATTTTTAAAGTAGACACCAAGGATCACAAGTTCAAGGAAGTGGGCAAAGGGAGAATGTGAAGCAGTCATGCAGAGCCATCACCATGTTTCAAAACACAAGTTAGAGCACCTTCCAGTGGTTTTCTGCCCCACTGAGAATAAAATCCAGATCCTCACCAAAGATCTCATCTCCCTGGCTCATTTCCTTCTGTCTCACTATGTGCCAGCAGTGTTCCTTGAACTCGCTAGGCTCATCCCCACTTTAGTGGCTCAACCTGTAATCCCGCGCCTCTGGGAGGCTGAGGTGAGTGGATTGCCTGAGCCTGCGGCTTCGAGACCCGCCTGGGCAGCGAGACCTCATCTCTACAATACATCAAAAAATCAGCCGGGCGTGGTAGCGCATGCTTGTAATTCCGGCTACTCAGAAGGCTGAGGCGGAAGGATCGCCGGAGCCCAGCAGGTCGAGGCTGCGGTGGCCGGGAGCAGCCACTGCACTCCAATCTGGGTGACAGAGTGAGACTCCAACTCAAAAAAAAAAAAAAAAAAGACATGTGCAGCCTTCTCTGCCTTCATGCTATTTCCAAATCTCTGCATGACTATGCAGATCTCAGATCAAAGGTCATCTTCTCAGAGAGGCCTTTTCTGACCTCTCTAGCCAAAATAGCAACCCCAGTTACTTTCTATTTTTTCTTTATATCATTTGTCACTATCTGATGTTATTTAATTGCTTTTTAGTTTTTGAAACAGGGTTTCTCTCCGTCATCCAGGTTGGAGTGCAGTGGCATGATCATAGCTCACTGCAGTCTTGAACTCTGGGGCTCAAGCAATCTCCCTGCCTCAGTCTCCCAAGGAGCTGGGACTACAGGCATGCACCACCATGCCTGGCAAATTTAGAATTTTCTTTGTAGAGACAGGATCTCACTATGCTATCCAAGCTGGTCCAGAACTCCTGGGCTCAAGCAATCCTCCTGCATCAGTCAACCAAAATGTTGGGATTACAGGCATGAGCCACCATGCCTGGCCCAATTGATTGCTTTTTAATTAACTGTCTCTCTCCAGCAGAATGTAAGTTCCATAAGAGCAGAGTCTTGACTGTCTATACCCATAACTTCTGTCTAAGACCAGGAATACCTGTTGATGAAGATAGGTCAGTAGCCACTTTCATAAATATATGAGGGCATTTTTATTGATGAGGCACTTTTTAAAAATATATGAATCTATATAAGCAAAAATACATAGCATCTGTACTTAATAAGGAATTCTTTCAAAAAAACTAAAATTACATAAAGTCGAGGCTGTCCTGGAGAATCTGAGACATAGAGTCATTCTATATATGAAATTCAGTTTTTCCACTATTTCGTAAATCTTTCTGATGACTCACATGTCTTCAGTACCAGTTTAGGCATCATATACTCACTGATAACAGATGGAGCGCTCACAAGGGAATGATGGGATTCCAGAGTTAGGATCTGGGTACACAGGTGGGTGTGCAGAAGTACCTCCAGCTCAGAATCTACAACTGACAGATCTTACAGTCAGTGCGGCCTTGGTTTACACTTGTTTTGTATCTCTTAAGGAGGATATGTCTCCAACTGTAATGTTTTGGGCAGTCACCTGGGGATCTTATTAAAACGTAGATTCTGATTCCAAGGTGGGACCCAAGAGTCTATATTTTCGATAAGTTCTCACGCAGATGATATCTGTGCTTCCAGACAGAGGCTCACACTTTGAGAAGCAAATATCTAGTAACACAAAATTGCCATCTGAGAAACAGATGACAACCTGAGATTAACTCAGAAAGGAAGTGCTCACCATAGGGGAACTTGGTTCCCAAGAGGCAAATATGTAGAGAACCTAATTTTAAAAAGTGGAAAGGAACCTGTCTGGAAAGAGATGACTCAGTTCTCTTAATTTGTAATAAAGCAAATTTGCAAGGACTTAAAAACAGAATCACTTCTAAGTGCTGACTTGTGTGCAGATCTGAGAAACTGCTTAATTCTAGTATGAGAATTGTAAAAATTCATATTCCTTTACAAGTGTCCTATTTACAACTCTTGGGGCATAAGAAAGGAGAAAGCTTTGCTAGTTCTGTATAGCAACAAATATGTGGACCAATGTCCCCCATCTAACTGTCTTGCTCCAGGTATAAAACTAGTTGTTTTTCTAGTTTCTCTTTTTAAATTTCCCCTCCTTACCAGGCCCTTCTCCCCCTTCCCACACACATCCTGGTTCCAAGGAGGATCTCTAAGCTGATGGTGAGACTCTGGGATGATTGATCTGGTGAGTGGTATACACATCATGACCTTATCCCACTTGGTTGCTGACCCCATGAAAAGGCAGAGCTGGCCGAGTCTTCACCTCATTTGAGCCTCCATTCTCAGCTGTATGCTCCTGCAGCTTGAGTGTAACTCTGTGCCGCTCGTTATTTCTTTTCTTTTCTTTTCTTTTTTTGAGTTGGAGTCTCACTCTGTTGTCCAAGCTGGAGTGCAGTGGCATGCTCATAGCTACCACAACCTCGACCTGCTGGGCTCAGGCGATCCTTCCACCTCAGCCTTCCAAACTGGAACTACAGACGAGCACCACCATGCGCGGCTAATTTATTTTTAATTTATTGTAGAGATGAGGTCTCAACAACTTGCCCAGGCTGGCCTCAAACCCATGGGCTCAGGCAATTCTCTCACCTCAGCCTCCCAGAGTGCTGGGATTATAGGCGTGAGCCACGGCACCTGGCCAGAGGGGTTATTTCTTATAGTTGTTAACATGCATATCTCCTTGGAGACCTGGTGTGGGGGTGGAGTGATTGAAGATTAGGATTGGGCATTCCTGTGTCTTTAGCAACCTTCCAACCACAGTGATTGAACATGAGCTATCATTGTCCACAGTGATTTCCTTCCCAGTACCCGCAAAACGTCAAAGAACAAACCTGGCCTTTTTCCAACCACAGTGATTGAACATGAGCTATCATTGTCCACAGTGATTTCCTTCCCAGTACCCGCAAAACGTCAAAGAACAAACCTGGCCTTTTTCCTCCATTTTTTTGTGTTCCTTAAGAAGTTGTTCCACATGCAACACACTATCTCCAATGCTTGTAAACTCTGCTTGCTCTTCCAACAAATTATCCAGGGCAAGTTTAACCTACAAGACACATTAGAACAATCCAGAAGTAAACCCACATGTACTCATTTGGAGGTATAGGTTTGTTACGCTTTAAGAAAACTCAAAAATCCAAAAAGGATTGAGGACTTGTGTGTATCTACATGATCTTTTTGTTCATAGCTCATTAACTTTCAGATTAAGCTGGGGGTGTAGAGACACATAGAGATGGAATATTACAGCTATATTCAACAGATTACTAATGATAAGAAAGGAAGATAAACTGTCACTGAAATACCATGAATGTCAACAGGAAAATGGGATTCTAGAATATCGCTACTCACTGAAAAAGTGAGAAGGGGTGAGGGAGTCTGGAAAGAATCAAGGATACAGGGAGAGAGCTGGACTGGGGAGAAGAGGGAACCCCTATATCAAAGAGGCTGAGGAGAGACGAGAAAACCAGGGGTCACAGTGCCAGAAAAGAAAATTAAACAGGAAAATAGTACCTTACAAAAATTGTACTCAAAGTGCTGTAGCTGCAGGCATTGGTTAAGCTTCAGGTGATGCTCAGACCAAAAGTGACTAAAGGCTTTTTCTGTTTCATCCAATTGAACTAATAACCTTTAAAGAAAGAATGAGAAAGTGATATTACATTAGCATTCATTACCACTGGCATCTAAATAGGCCTATGTAGATAAAACCTGTGTTTTCAGTCTGTGTTATTAATTGTGACAATCTCCTTATTATGAAGTTCTGTGTCACCTATGCCTTTGTCTTGGTTCAGCGGGTCCCCACACCTTCCATTTTCCAATTGGGATACCATGATGTGGGCAGAAACCTCAATTCAGTTGCAGCTGCTGTGCTCCAGGTGATCTTCCCTTTGTGCCTTCTTTTTTCTACCTGAGACTATATATGTGTAAGGCACAGCACCAAGCCAAACTGTTATTTGGAAATGAAGCTCAATAAATCCTATCATCTCCCTCAAAATTCTGATATGGGAGCTTGTTGTTTATACAGAGAGGTTGCCAAAAATGTATATACATTTTAAGAAAGGGAAAAAATTATATTAAAATTGTAATATATACCAATAACAAAAGATAAACATAAGTCATGCCTGATTTCTGCAATTATAAAAGGTGCTCAGACTGGTTACCATCAGTGTCCAGACACTTCTGATTATGGCAAACTGAAAGTAATACACAGATAACATCTCTTAAAATATGTATATATATTTTTGGCACCCCCATATATAGAAGAGGAGGAAATGGAATCCTCATAAAAAGATCTCTAGGGACATGCCAGATGGACATGCTCTTTTGTCCTTTGTTGTTTCAAATATTATTCTTTCTTGGCCCCATCAGCTGCTTGTGGGGTACTGTCTGGACATAGACTTTCTCCCTACACTTGGCTTCTTTTTGCCCCCTCCCTCAGGCAGCAGCCTCTGGCCAAAGCTGGTCTCTGAAGTTCCAGTAATGAGTCATGGGATGCAGGTGACCAAGCAAAGCTGAAAACACTATAGTTCCTCTTAACTGATGTAATTGTACACACCATATAGAAATGATTAGCTTGATTGCCTTGGTTATAAAAATGCTTGCTATAACTGCCCCTAGGTGTGAATTCTTCACCAACCTGCCACCACCGGTGTCTCCCATAAGTTTTAATAAACGCATGTCTTTTCCTGTTGGACCTCTGGGTGACTTCTTTGGAATAGGTAAACATTACATGCAAGCCCTCTCTGATTTGGGGTTACCATATTACAATTCATGTCAGGAGCAGCGTATTCCAATGAAGCCCCCCATTGTAGCAGCCTCAGGAAAGAAAAAGTGGGGAGGAATGTCACTGGAAGAAATGAAAGGGTGGGCCACCAGTCCAATGTGTTTGAAGTTGCTAGCTTGATAGATAGCTGAGGGCTACCACGGGAGTACGAGGATGCCCTGAAAACACCAGCCAAACCGCTGGAATAATTGAAAGCAATTGATGAGAAAGGACATTTTTCAGAAGAAAAAGGACAGTCGTGCAGTTGTGGCGGCTGTGGGATGGCCCCTGCTTTGCAGTCTCTGAATGGCTACTGAGCAGGAGACAGACGATAGGAACCAGGTGCAGACACTGCAGAAGGAGTTAAGGCTGAAAAGAGATACTCTGTTAACGCAGGCAGAAAGCAGGGGCATGCTGAATTGCTGGCTGGAGAGACCAGCGCCCAGTTGCATGATTTAGCTGCCACTTTACGACAGTGAAAGGAAACAGTTGCCCACGGTACGCATCAGCACCATGGGAGCCTCCAGTGAGGAGGACCCATGAAAGTAGGATCTCACGAAGGATTCAGACTTCTCAGAAGAGGAGGATGAAACAGAGGTGATAGGCCAGGCTTGCTGGCTCAGCCTGTAATCCCAGCATTTTGGGAGGCCGAGGTGAGTGGATTGCGTGAGCCCGCGGGTTCAAGATCAGCCCAGGCAACTTGGCAAGACCTTGTCTCTACAATAAGTCAAAAATTAGCCAGGTGTGATAGTGCGTGCCTATAGTTCTGGCCACCTGAAAGGCTGAGGCGAAGGGATTGCTGGAGCCCAGCAGGTCGATGCTGTGGTGGCCGTGTGTGTGCCACTGCACCCCAGTCTGGGTGACGGAGTGAGACTACAACACACACACAAAAAAAGAAAGAAATAGAGGTGATAGAAGAGGTAGAGGAGTACCCAGGGACAAGGGCTCACTTGGTGATTATTCAGAAAATAAAGATAACAGGAGCGGCCAGAGGGCCATTATCCAGCACACCTGCCATCACCCCTCAGTACATGCACACTAGTATGCATCCATATACTTCACTGAAGCTGGTAGGGCTGGCAGCAACATTTAGGCAGAAATCGGGAATTCAAAAGGTGAAAGAGAACGCAGACAGGAAAAAAGCTGCTGAGGCTTCCACAAAGATGACCCATAAGCAAATGTGGGTAGATTTGACTAAGGCAGGGCTGGATTCGAACACGACAGATAAGGAACCCGATGTAATTCGGAGAGAGGAAGCTTGAACCCCAAAGAGCGAGCAGGCAGACAGCTGCGGAGCAGAACCAAAGGGCGCAGGGTCCCTAGAAATGGGTCCTGGTTGGCATCCCTCTTCTCATGGCCATGGTGCAGGCAGAACTCCCGGTGAGCCTCAGGCTGGAATACACACCAAGGCGTGGTTTACTGCTGGAATCATTTTGTTGTTGGCTATACCTATATCGCTGTGGGTGATATTGCGACACTTAGTACATTATACACAACCTGAACTACAAACACCAATCATTAGGATTCTTTGGGTGGTACCCAATATTGCTGACATCTTGAACCAACTAGGAACATAATTGGTCACATCCCATTTTGTAATGGATTTGGCTAATGCTTTCCTCAGTATTGACATTCATGCAGATTGTCAAGACCTGTTTGCATTCACCTGGGAAGGAAGACAATAGATGTTGGGGGTGCTACTCATGAGGTATTTGCACAGCCCTACGTTATGTCATGGCATGGTTGCTCAAGATTTGGAAAGTTGGAGGCGCCCTTGCATCCGTGTCTCTATTTCACTATGTAGATGATATCATGCTGACCTCTGATTCTCTTGCAGACCTAGAGCAGGCAGCACCCCAGCTGACTGGACATTTGCGGTGGAAAGGGTCATCAGCTGTTACAAGATCCAGGCTTTTCCCTGCCCAACACTGCCTGGACAGCTACAAGAGTTTTTGGGCTTGAGGGGGGAGTTTGTGCCACATTTAGCACAGATAGTACTACACTTATAGATGAACCGAAAAAGGATCCCAGTGGGACTGGACAGAGATGTGCCAATGGGCATTCAGTGCTACCAAAAGCACTGTGGACATTGTCCAGGCATTGGGCATACTAAACCAATCCCTTCCCTGTCAACTGGATGTAAATGTTACCCAGGAAGGACATGCTTGTTGCTTTGGCAGTGACAGGGAAAAGCTCGACTTCCCATTGGCTTTTGGTTGCAGACCTAGAAAGGAGCCGAAGCCTACTGGTTACATTGTAAAATGAAATATGCTGGACAGAAAATACTGTGGGAAGTTGCAAAGAGTTGAAGGCTCCCTATTAAATACTCTGACATAGTGACTGCCTGCAATGATTGCTCCGTACGTGCCAAGAGGCACCCACAGAGACTGCCAGCAGAAGGTGGACATATCAAATGGGGCCAAGAGTCCTTGACCCTCTGGCAAGTAGAATGTATTGGCCCCTTCTTCATGTCAGAAGGGACTCGATTTGCCCTCACTTGTGTTATTACTACTACAGGATTATTGCAGGTATTCCCTAGCAGACAAGTGACAGCACTCATCAGAGTCCATCAGAAGACTGTCACAGCTCCTAGCAGCATACAGCACTCCTGAAGTCACTGAAAGTGACCAAGGAACCTATTTTGCTGGACATCAAGTGCAACAATGGGCTGAGTGGCTGCATATTGACTGGCAATTTCACCTACCCTACAATCCCATGGGCCCCGGTCTAATAGAAAGATACAATGGCATGCTAAAGGATGCTTTAAAGACAGATCAACACTCACTGCAGGGGTGGACAACCTGATTGCATGGAGCAATCCACACTCTCAACGAGAGACCCCGTGCTGGCTATCCAGCACCTCTAAGAAGACATGCTGACAAACCATGGGTGATGCCACTGAGGATACAAATCTGAACACAAGAATCACTATTGCAACCAAGCTGGGAAAGTGGGTATAATCTGTTGCTGCCCACCCCAGTACCTGGAGAGAATACTTTCATTGACCTTGGAAAGTTCAATCTGAACCCCATTGGTGCTCCTTGCTTGCCCCCTGGGGAGAGGGAATCAAACATAATTTAGATTTTCATCCTATGATTATGAGAAAATGGACAAATACTGTTAAGTGTAATAATCCCAGGTCTCAAATACTCAAAAGGGGGACTATTATCATTTCTGTTTCTATGTGGCAATTCAGGACACCCCCACTGTCCTTTCATGTCATGGACAAGAGGGCTCCCAGACATGATAGGGCATGGTACTCCAGGCTGGGGAGGCCTCCACAAAGTGTCACAGTGCTGTCATGGGACAGAAACGTTGCTTGTTATGTTACCTGATAATCAGGTTTTACCATTGCTTGTTCCACTAATGAAACTGCCTGGAAAGTAGGCTGGACCCCTGGGCATCTGTGACAAACTTAAGTTTGAATGCTGTGTATACACTCCTGACAATGGTCATAATGTATCTATGGCCTTTGTGACCCTGAATACTGAAATCAGTGCTGTTTCCCAAATTGTTGAAGACTCCTTTTCCAAGTGGTTTGTATCACTAAGCTCTTTTTGGCAAAAGGTGACCATAGGTGTTATAATCACTGTAGCAATTTTGCCGTTCAGATCCTGTGTTCTTAATTGCATATGTGGGATACGGATGCAATGTTTGACCTGTGTACCTCTGAGGATTCAAATCCAGACACAAGAATCATTGTTGCGAACAAGCTGGGGAAGTGGGTATAACCTGTTGCTGCCCACCCCAGTACCTCAGGGAGCTTGCAGAAGATCAATATTATGCAAAGATCGTGAGGGTGGAAGAAAGTCAATGCAGGAGTGGAGTGTGAGGTGTTATCCAGACATAGATGGTTTCCCCCTCTGCCTGGCTTCTTTCTGCCCCTCCCTTAGGTAGCAGCCTCTGGCCAAGGCTGGTCTCTGAAGGGTCTGGATAGTCCCAATAATGAGTCATGGGATGCAGGTGACCAAACAAAGCTGAAAACAACGTAGTCCCTCTTAATCAATGTAAATGTACACACCATGTAGCAATTTGAATGATTAGCTTGATTGGTTTTATTATAAAACTGCCACCATCAATCAGTGCCTCCTGTAAGTTCTAATAAACCAATGTCTTTCCCTGTTGGACCTCTGGGTGACTTCTTTGGAAGAGGTAAGCCTTACGTGCAAGCCCTCTCAGATTTGGGGTTACTGCATTAACACTTTTCCAATCTGTTCTCGGTTGTTGCAGAACATCTAGGTCTCCAGATTCTCTCCTGAAAAAGCAGTTTCCACCTCACTCACCCACCTTTTCATGGTAGCTACATTCTCAAGTTCATTGGGATTGAGTTTGTTGGTGGGATTTTGGGTTCCTGGTTCTTGGATACATGACAGCAGTGTGGCCCCCTGCTTTCCAAGCAATTGCAGCTCATCCTAGGAAAAGAAAAATAAAGTCTCTCTGAGAAGAAATTAGCAAAAACAAATTCTTGTTAGATTTGAGACTAGTAGAGCCGTATGTTTTTCATTAGAAAAAACTAAATGCCGACAAAGTCAAGACGCAGCTTTTAAAAACCAATGAACTTATCCTTATCGGGTAATACACATGATACAAATTCAAAATATGCCAAAGGATATATACTGGAAAGTAAATTTTTGTCCCCAGTCTGTACACTTTTCCTCTCCACAGGCAACATCTGTTCTTGTGTATATATCAAACTGTTATTGTAAATTAAAGGCAAAACTAGTTAATAAAACCTGGTCCAAATCCAAGATAGTGACCAGAAACAAGAAAATGACAGATATTGAATGCTGAATGCTAGAAACTGCCAAGCAAAAACAATGCAATAATAATTGCTGGTTGAGGCCAGTCACAGTGGCTCATGCCTGTAATCCCAGCACTTTAGGAGGCCAAGGCAAGAGGATTAGCCTGAGTAACTTGGCAAGACCTTGTCTCTACAACAAATTTAAAAATTAACTTGGCGTGGTGACACATTCCTTTAATTTCAGTTACTTGGAAGGCTGAGGTGGAAGGATCACCTGAGCCCAGCAGATCGAGACTGTGATATCTGTGATTGTGCCACTGCACTCTAGCCTGGTTGACAGAGTTGGACACAGACTCAAAAAACAAAAATAAAAAAAATTTGCTGGTGGATCACGAAAATACTTCAACTGCACTCATCAATAGGCACCTTCCTCTCCTACCTTGCCAGCCAACTGTGGCCTTGTTTAATTATTGAAGTGTGGCAGAGAGAGGCAGCAATTTTAACTTGACACAGAAAGAGCTGTACTTCCAAGACAACTCTATTCTGCTCTTTTAATATGAGGACTTAGTGTTCTGCAACTGGGGAAGGCTATTTCTTTCCAAATCCAACTGCTCTAGTCCTCTCCTTGGACAGTGCAAGTCATCTCTCAATACCCTGAGCCTTAGCCATAAGGGGCAGGCTGCAAACCAAAAGGGGCAAAGCCTATCCTAGAATTTTGCTCTTGGGAATTCTGGGTTTGGTTCCTGAGTCACAGAAGGCTGGTTTGGTATGCCCTTGAGTGTTAGAATAGGCAAGTAGTTCTAAAACTCAAATCCAAAGGTCATGTCTGTGCACATGAACACTGAATCTCTTTCTCTAAGCCCAGCCACCTCTGCAGCCTTCACACTAGAGCTTGTTCTCTGTGGGAAGTTAGCCATGTCCCCACTGTGCTCACACAGAAGTCCTAGGTCCTCTCAACTTCCCTTCTTTGTTCATTGTCTCCCATCCCACTTTAGAATTTCCCCTGGAACGGTTATGTTGTCCAGACCCAGCCTCCAACTGTCCCTGCGTCTGGTTAGTTGATGTGACATCTCTGAGACTGCCCTTCTTTGGACACTCCTGCTGCCTCCGTCCACTCCAGCTAATGCCCCAAGTCGGCCCCTTGGCTGCACTCTGCCTGGGCATTGAACATTTCTTTTCCATTCTCATGTGTCAGCCTTCATTTCTTCTTATCAATACTCATTAAATATTTGCAGGTTGGATAAATTAATAATAGTCTAAAAGAAATCAGGTCACAGATGAATAAAGACAGTAGATATGATGGAAAAAATGAACTCCTGAGTCTGCGTTCTTATCCTTTCCCTCTTCCCACCCACTAAAGGGTCCCGGCTTTTCCCACTCAGCTTCATTTTTTTTTGTTTGTTTTTGAGTTGGAATCTCACTCTGCCGCCCAGGCTGGAACGCAGTGGCACATTCATGGCCACCCCAGCATTGACCTGCTGGGCTCCGGCGATCCTTCCGCCTCAGCCTTTCAAGTAGCCAGAACTAAAGGGCACGCTACCATGCCTGGCTAGTGTGTGTGTGTGTGTGTGTGTGTGTGTGTGTGTGTGTGTGTGTGTGTCTGTGTGTGTGTGTGTGTCTGTGTGTGTAGAGATGAGGTCTCGCCAATTTGCTAGGGCTGGTCTCGAACCCGCAGGCTCAGGCAATCCACTTGCCTTGGCTTCCCAAAGAGCTGGGATTATAGGCTGAGCCACTGAGCCCAGGTCCCACTCAGGCCCCTGAGCTTCCAGCAGGATTCTGGCTATATACATATACATATGCATTTCTTTGGGCAGCCAGGGTCCTGGTGGTGGCAAGGTGAGGACCGCTTGTGAACTGAGAGATAGCTCATCACTGCCAAAGCTGCCTTTTCTCAGAATATGGGAGCCCCCACCCCCCTTGGAAAAGGATCCAATTTGTAAATGAGGTCGAGGTGCACATGCTCTGAATACTTGCTCTCACTCTCCTCAATGGTGGAACAGCACACAGCTGGAGGGATGGCTGTGGGCGTCAGATCTGCTGGTCTCATTCATGATAGTTAACCTCTCCCAGGAAAGGCTAGAGCTGGTGGCATACACAGGACTCACCCTTCCTTTTTGTCCCTCAGATAAGATGGTGAAATCACAGAGAAAATACAGTTTCAAATCTCACCACAAATCCCAAGTGCCCACAGTCTGATTAAACAGAAAATAACACCTACTGAAGTTGGGAGCAGTCTTTGACTGTAAGAATATATTAAAGCTCACACTGTGGCTCAGCTTGGGGGGAAGGAATTTATGTCTAGAGTACAGTCTTCTTTAAAGCCATCAGTTTGCTTAAAAGCTTGGTAAGATTCAGAGAAATGCAAATCAAAATCACATTGAGATAATACCTAACCCCAGTAAGAATGGCCATCATTAATAAAACAAACAACAGATGCTGTCGAGAGGACAGAGAAAAAGAAATGCCTCTACACTACTGGTGGGAATGCAAACTAGTGCAACCTCTTTGGAAGACAGTGTGACGATTTCTGAAAGAACTAGAAATTAACCTTCCATATGACCCAGCAATCCCCCATTGGGAATACACCTGTAGGAACTCAAGTCATTCTACCAAAAAGATACCTGCACATGCATGTTTGTAACAGCTCTATTCACAATAGCAAAAACATGGAACCAACCAGGCTACCCATTAAAGCTGGACTGGATTAAAAAAATGTGGAACATACACACAATGGAATATTATGCAGTCATAAAGAAGGACAAACATATGGACTTCGCAACAACTTGGATGGATTAGGAGTCTATGATACTCAGTGATTTATCACAGAAACAAAGAACAGAGTACTAGATTTTTTCACTCACAAGTGAACCTTGAACTACAAGAAAGGGATTGGTAATAGTGGGAAACTGCCAGGAGAGAGGGGGTGGGATTGGCAGTTGAGGGAAACTGCCAGGGGAGGGAAGGGGACACCTCATCAACAAGGGTACCTGCATAATGAACATTTGTATACCTAACCCCAAATTGTACCCCACATCTTTAAAATAAAGAAAAAATTTTTAAAATGTTTAAAAAGAGAAGAAAAAAATAAGTTTGATAAGATTGTTCGATGATTTTTCTGTGTGAAGAGATTTGTTTGATATACTAGAAAAGAGAATCTACTGAAAGATTATTTTGAACAAAGTAGTAACAACTCCACAGAGAATTAGCAAATAAGGCTATAAAAGCTATCCAATTCCACAGCTCTACTATGTTGACTGGCTGTAGAGGCAAGTAAGATAAGGGATCTCAAAGATCCCAGGAGACAGGAAATGAAGACATCAAGTCAAATTTCTTAATGCTGACTAGCAATTTTGAAAAAAAACTCTCCAGGCTAAGAGAAAATAGTAAATCACATGTTGTAACTTTTATAGATATTTAAATAGATGTGAAAATTCGCTGTTCTGAAGAATAAATCATATCTTGGTTTTTCACTTTAAAAAGGTAATTTCCAAATGAAGAACAAATTATCCAATTACATAGAGAATCTTTGATTAAAAGGTAGGTAAAACACTGATAACAGTAAAATAAAATATTTATAAATAACCACAAAAAGTTACTAAGTTATTAATACAAATTTAAACGGTATTTTTTTCCCTAATATAAACCATTTCTTTCTTTAAGGCATGTTTGGATGAGAAAGAGGGTAAATCTCTAGTTTTAATGACTTTGGTATTCTTGCTTCTAAGCTACAAGATAAGAAAAAAATCAAATTTGTATTAGGCCAATAATCAGTAATCACAATAAGGTCTCAAGAAACTCTCTGTATTGTCATTAAAAGGATGCAAATATTATTTGGTAAAATACAGAATAATATTTTTAATCCTAATTTACTTAACACTCTTAATCAAGGCAAATACTTGGCAAATTAAATTGTTTTGAGAATTTTATCTTAAAATAATTATAGGTCTTCATGATTTTAAGGCAGCATGGAATAGAAATGCAAGCATTTATTTTCTTACTTAAAGTCAAATTAAATAAAACCTCCTAAATTCCTTTTACTTGTCTTACAGAGTTGTTTAATGAAATTAATATAATAATTAGAGTATAAAATCATTTATAAATGTCAAATAATGCTTCAAATTATGCGGAGCAACAAAATTCCTCCACTCCATAATCTGAGAGAGGTCCCAGAGTCACCTGTTTTAATTCTGAGAACAACTGGATAGCATGCATTAGAAAATGCTCTTACTCCATCTTGGAGACTGGTTCTTTCCAGCCCCTTTATCTCTGTAGAACTCTTTGCCTATGTCTCAATTATAGAACATTCATCTGCCTTCTCTGGGACACCCTCTCTGCACGTACAGCAGGACCCGATTGGCTGGTTTTCACTCCCCAGATGTATGTCCTGTCTAAATTCCCAAATCTTTAGCTTTTCCCCAGAAACCTTCCTAACTGACCATGTTGTCATCTCAGTGCTTCTGCTCCGCCATCTCTCCAAAGCCTTGGAGAGAGATCTCTTGGACTGATTGCACTGTGCTCATGAGCCCCAGGCATGGAGCTCAGTTTCACAGTCCCTGCCACACTGGTCATCGTTACATCACGCTCCCTTGTACCAACAGACTGCTCTGCAGACTCCTTTTGGTTAACAACCTCACACTGCTTCCTAGCAGACTTCACAGAGGCACCCAGACCCTGCTTTCTGCAACTCATGCCTCTTAGGAATCATATGAGGTGAGTTCGGGCAGTATGGAAAAGAAAAGAGCAAGCTTTTCACAGGCATTTTCAGGGAAAATGTCCAGGATGCTGTCAGGATTTCAAAATTTCAATCCAGATCTTTTGAGTACTCAGAATAATCGTAGGACTATATTTTGAAATCTTTTAGGACAACAACCTCCTTGAAGACAGAATTTAACAATGTTCCCTGGTAGATGGAAAAATTAATTTGCCTCAACTGTAGACTCTGAGACTCTCTTGACTAGACTATGTGCTCCTTGAGGTTGCACTTTTGGTTTTTCTGGCACATAGTGGTAGGTATGTTGAGTCAATAAACAAACCAACCATGTAACAAAGCATTTTTGCACATTTGGGGTCACAGATAAAACAGTTCAGCTCTTCCCAAGTTCCATGCAGCAAGGATGGTTTGCTGCCTTATTGAAAACTAGTCTTTGGTGAAAGAATGGATTCCGTCGTCCATTTGTGCTTCTCAAGGCCGGCTGGAAGGCGCTGACACTCCTCAGTGGGAAGCCCCAGGATGACTTCCCCTCACTGTGTGACAAAGAACCTGCCAAGCTCCCTTCCCAGCAGATTCGGTCATGCTATTGTGAATCATTTAATAGGAGCCTCTCCTTAAGCCTAGATCAGAGCACTTTCCACAGTTCTTTTTCCCAAATTAGTCCCCAAATAAAAAGACACATCCCTGAGAAAGTGAAGCAATGAGTCAGCTTATTAGTCTGCCCCAAAACTTTACAATCACCTATGGAAAACCTATACTTCAAAAGCCAGCCCATGCCCCTGCAATTTCAGCACCTGACTTGCTCTTTCCTGAGCCCGGATCATGTGTGCAGCCCTTGAAAGGGTGCTCACATGCCTCAGCTTGCCAGCACACAGCTGGAAGGAATTGCCCTTCCCTGGACTGATCCCCACGGGGCTTCATTCACCATCCAGTCTCTAGAGACTTTTTACAAAGTTCCTATCTAGAAGCTTTAAGATGGTCAGTGGCTGCCAAGTCACTGCAAAAGAAGGAAAAAGAGGGCTTAACTTTTAGTTCTGCTCCTGGCTCCCTCCAAGAGGCAGACCCACCTGCCAGCACAGAGACTGGCCTCTGAGAGACCACTAACCACTCACCTGCAGTTTGTCCTGCTGCCTTGTTTGAGACATGAGAAGGTCTTCTGTGGATGGCACACCTCTGGGCAGCTTTGTCGTAGCCAGGGAGGCCCCAAATGTCTGCAGCATCTGGGCAGTGGCCTTCAAGGTCAAGGCAAAGTTTTCAATGGCCTGAAAGGTCAGATTATAACCACGTGAGGAGATTAACATTCATCAATATGCTGGAAAGACAATAGAATTAGCTATCAATTTCTGAGTGTCTGTGAAGGGCCACACACTCTACATTTGTTTACCATCTCAAGAATCTAGGGGGGGTATTTTATCTTCATTTTATGGAGGAAAGACCTGAAGCTCCAACAGGTTGAATGAATTCCCTGAAATTGTATCACTTGGCCAGGAAGGAAGGAAAGAAGGACGGAAAGGAGGAAGAAAGGGAGGGAGGGAGAAAAGAAGGGTGGGAGGAAGGGGGAAGGAAGGAATGGATTTAACCAAGGCCAGCTGTTTAAGGTCAGGGCTCTCTTCATTACCCTAAGAACATCTAAAATTAAATCTGACTCAGGATTTACACTAGGTAAAATGCTGAAAAGGGCAGAATCACCCAACTTTCCCTCTAATAAACTTTTTCTTCCCTTCTAGCCTCCATTGCTCTCCACCCTCCCTCTGCCCTCACACACACCCTCAGCTGCCCAGTCCTTCTGAGAAGCTTGTCAAACACGGCTGTGAGGATATGCCAACTGAGGAGACAGATTAATATAGAGATTAGGTCACTAGTGACACTCCAGGAAGTTATTTCCATCAGATGTGGGGAGGAGTTGGGGACCTCTTCCTCTAAAACCTCCTTCATAAACATTTGTCCTGTGACCCTACTCTGCCATTAAATAAATACATGCTAACAGGTTAGTGGCTTCACTGCTAATACCCAAATTGAGGTGTCTTTCTTTAGTAGAGTACTTTAGGAGACACATGGCCTACCCCAGAAAAAGTGGCATTGCCCATCCAAGGAGTTAGTTGCAGATGGGTAGCTTTTCAGAGTTTCACAAATCATTCCATAGCCAGATGGGCACTGCCATGCCTACTCTCTGCTCTTGAGATAATTTTGCCCTTGAAGGCCATGTCACATTCATCTTTGCACCCCAGGGCATGATACCGTGCCTGTGACATGGTAGGTAACCCTTAAACAGCTGCTTGATGGTTGAATGGAAGAAGCTAAGAGGCACAGTTGAATTTTCATTTGAGAAGAAATGGCCTCTGTTCCTACATCATCAGAGAACATTTCTGGAAACTCGAGCCCACATCACAAAGAATGTGCCAGATCTGGTGGCCCTTCTCTGCACCATAGGCTGAGGGGCGAGCCTGACATGAAGAGGCTTCGGGAACATTGCACTCCTCCCCTTACTCTTTGAACCCAAAGTCTTCAACCATTTTCATGCTCGAGGCATTACTGTCAATGGAATCTCCCTATTAGCATAAGTACTTCTATAGTCACAACTCTGAACATCATAGTCCTTTCAGCCCAGAAAGTCAGATGAACTTTCATGAAAATCTTTCAGTGCCCCCACACGCCCTGCTGTAGCACATTGGGGCACAGCGAGGAGCAGGGCTCTCCCCACTCCCCTCCAGCTGGGCCCCGCAGCTCCCTGTCCGGCCTCTGGGCGAGATCCTTCACCCACAAAGGAGACCCACAACTCCACGTGCAAGCTGGAGAGGAAGTGAATGTCGTGACATCGAAGCAGCTGTCAGCTGATCCCTGTAGCTCCAGCACCACCCCAAAGAGGAGGCCACGTTATTCCTTTGGGTGCAGAAGCCCAGGAGGCCAAGAGAGATCTTTCTCTCACCAGGTTCTCACTGGTTCCTATGTAGATGAGTCAGGTGGAAGTTGGCCCACACAGGACCTCTGATGAGCCTTGATGCCTTCAAGTTCTCTCTTGCTCCAATCCAGCCTCCATGCTGTGCCCAGAGTGATCTTTCTAGAACCCACATCTGACCACACAACCGCTCAAAAATTTCCAGTGGCTACCTGTTACCCAAACAATAAAGTCCAGTCTCTTCATCACAGTGTTCTTGACCTTTTATAATCCTTTAACCTCGTCTCCTGCTCCGCCCCACCCCTCACCTCAAAACCACACAGACGCTCTCACACTCCAGCCAGTGATCCCAAAACACATCATGCTTTCCCACACTCCACACATGTGAGCACTTTTCCCCCACCCACTAGGGATGCTACCATCTTGACCCCTCCTCTGAGGCTCAGAGTATCCTTCTTACTACGTAAGACTAATGTCAGACACCACTGCCTCTAGGGAAACCTTCCTCAGTAAGCTGGGCATGCGTAGTGCTTCCTCCTGGTGCCTCTCCTGGCACCTGTCATATTGCATAGTAATTCCTGGGAGCTTGTGTGTTTGCCTGTCCTGCTCAACTATAAGACTCCCACAGTGACCCTAATCCATACTGATATTCTTATCCCATGTTTCTAAGCACAGTGTCGGGTAGATAGTAGTTGCCCAACATATGTTTATCAAGCCAAGACAGAGTTCAGACCCTTGAGTATCTTACATTTTATTGAAGTTATAAATGAGAAAGATTTGCAAAACAAATAAAATATCACCAGGCTGGATTTTACATTAAAAAAAAGAAAATCTTTCAATTACATTGAAGTTGTATGATGTTGACATAATCTAACATCTGTATAAGACACTATTTTTATTTTTTAAATTTTTTTATTTTAAAGATGTGGGGTGCAAGTCAGGGTTAAGTAAACAAATGTTCATTATGCAGGTGCCCTTGTTGATGAGGTGTGCCCCCCTCCCTCGGCAGAATCCCACTGTTGCCAATCCCACCACCCCCATCCCCGCCCTGACAATTTCCCACTACTGACAATCGTTTTCTTATAGTATTACAATAATTGTTCAAGGTCCACTTATGAGTGAAAACATGTGATACTCAGTTCTTTGTTTCTGTGAGAGGTCACTCAGTATTATAGACTCTAAATCCATCCAAGTTGCGGTGAAGTTCATAATTTTGTCCTTCTTTATGGTTGTGTAATATTCCATCGTGTATATGTACCACTTTTGTTTTATTTATTTATTTATTTTTGAGTTGGAGTCTCACTCTGTCGCCCAGACTGGAGTTCAGTGGCTGCTCCCGGCCACTGCAGCCTCGACCTGCTGGGTTCCAGCAATCCTTCCGCCTCAGCCTTCCAAGTAGCTGAAACTACAGGTGCGCACTACCATGCCCGGCTAATTTTTGATTTATTGTAGAGATGAGGTCTCACCAAGTTGCCTGGGCGGGTCTCGAACCTGTGGGTTCAGGCAATTCACTCGCCTCGGCCTCCCAAAGTGCTGGGATTGCAGGCTGAGCCACCAAGCCCCGCCACCACTTTTGTTTTAATCCAGTCTTCTTTTGATGGGAGGCACAGTTAGTTCCATGTTTTGCTATTATGAACAGTGCTGCAATAAACATGCATGTGCTGGTAGATTTTTCATAGAGTGATCTGAGTTCCTCCCGGTATATTCCCAGTAGGTGAATTGCAGGGTCATATGGAGGGTTGATTTTTAGACCTTTTAGGAATTGCCACACTGCTTTCCACAGAGGTTGTACTAGTTTACACTCCCACCAACAGTGTAGAATTGTTCCCTTTTCCCCACATCCTCTCTTTTAAATGCATTTACTAACACCCTATAATAAATAACACATAAGGAAAGTCAGACTAACCAGTGGAATAATTAGAACACATAAGATCATATGTATTTTGCTTTATATGCATTCTCTCTTCTAATTAGGTGTTATTATCATCACCCCACATTCGATATATAAGGAAACTGAGGCAAATTGAAGTAATTACCCCAAAGTTATACAAAAAAAATAAATAACAGAGTTGGAATTGAAGCAAGGTAATCTGGCTTCTGGGCTGCACTCTTGAACACTAGGCAATGCCACTTCTCTGTAGTCAAAACCATATTTAGCAAAACTAGATTTAAAACTAGATCAGCCAGGCTTGGTGGCTGAGCCTGTAATCCCGCACCTTGGGAGGCTGAGGTGAGTGGATTGCCTGAGCCCGCGGGTTCGAGACCCGCCTGGGCAACTTGGTGAGACCTCATCTCTACAATAAATCAAAAAATTAGCCAGGTGTGGTAGCACACGCCTGTAGTTCCAGCTACTTGGAAGGTTGAGGTGGAAGGAACTCCGGAGCCCAGCAGATCAAGGCTGTGGTGGCCAGGAGCGGCCACTGCACTCCAGTCTGGGCAACAGAGTGAGACTCCAACTCAAAAAAAAAAAAAAAAATTAGATCAGCAAAAGATTTTGAACTTAAGAATTTAAGGCATGAATTAAAGTCCAGATCCTGACATTCTTGGACTATGTGATCTTGGGTATACTGTGTAACGCTGTTGAGTTCCAGTGTCCTCAATGAAAAACAGGGATAATGCTTGCTGATTTTGCAGGGATCTTTTGAGGAACAGCAAATGAAAGGATCTTGGGGGCAGAAGAGCACCTTACAGGTGTAGTAGTAATAACAGTAATGACTCAGTGTCAGGTATGAGACCTGCAAATGTCACCTGGAAATAGAGGGAAGCCAGAGCCTTCCCGTGAAGTTCCCTATTAACAAATTAGCTTGATACAGAAATGATACAGAGGACATGATCCTGATAGGGTGATTAAAAAGAGCTTGGCCTTGTGATCTGAAAATTTGGATTAGGAAAAAATGAAAATGAAAAAAGAACTTAGTCTTGGCTCTGCCATTACTTGACCATATGGCATTCAATAAGTCACTGAAGGTCAGTTTACTCACCTATAAAATAAAGTGATTGAAGTACATGCTCTTCAAAGTTATTTTGAGTTCTGACCTTCTATGAGTCTCTCATTCAAAGATCTGACATCCAGAAAATGCACTTTCACACACACAAAAGGATCTATATATCTCACTCACAGATGTAAAACAATGTGTACTGTATATGTGTGGTTATATTATTCCTAATTATATACACAGATATATATAATTATATATACCTTATTATGGGTTTGGTTCCAGACCACTACAACAGAGTAAATGTCTCAATAAGGTGAGTCACAAAAATATTCTGATTTCCCAGTGTGTATAGAAGTTATGTTTATGTTATACTGTAGTAAGTGTGCAATAGGAATATGTCTTAAAAAAGTAAATATCTTAATTTAAAAATACTTTTTATTGCTAGAAAATGCTAACACTCTTCTGAGCCTTCAGTGACACATAATGGTTTTGCTGGTGGAGGGTCTTGCCTTGATAGTGATGGCTGCTGACTGATCAGGTTGGTAGTTGCTGAAAGTTGGGGTAGCTGTGGCAACTTCTTAAAATAAATCAACAGAAAACTTTGCCGAATCGACGGACTCTTCCTTTCATAAAAGATTCATCTGTATGTAGCAGGCGAGACTGTTTCATAGCATTTTACCCACAGTAGAACTTCTTTCAAAACTGGAAAGTCAAGCCTCTAAAACCCTGCCACTACTTTATCAAATAAGTTCATGGAATATTCTAAATTATTTGTTTTAATTTTAAAGATATTCACAGTATCTTCACTAGGATGATGACAAACCACTCTCTTTGCTCATCCATGAGCCTCATCCATTCAAGTTTTATCATGAGATTGTAGCAGTTCAGTCACACCTTCAGGATCCACTTCTAAATTTCTTGTATTTCCATCACGTTGTAGTTACTTCCTCTGTTGAAGTCTTGAACCTCTCAAAGTCATCCATGAGGGTTGGAATCAACTTCTCTCAAACTCCTGTTAATGTTAATATTTTGACCTCCTCCCATGAATCACAAATGTTCCTGATAACATCTAGAGTGGTGAATTTTTTTCCAGAAGGTTTTCAATTTGCTTTGCCCATGTCCATCAAGGAAATCACTATCTATGACAACTATATCTTTACAAAATGTTTTTCTTAAATAAGACTTGAAAGTCAAAATTATTCCTTGATCCATGGGAAGCAGAATGCATGTTATATTAGCAGGCATATTAGTAGTGGCTCACACCTGAAATCCCAGCACTTTGGGAGACTTAGGTGGGAGGATTGCTTGAAGCAAGTTCAAGACCAGTCTGGGCAACATAGAGAGACTTCACTTCTACAAAAGATAAAAACAAAAAATTAGACAGACATGGTGACATGTGCCTGTAATCTAGCTACTCAATAGGCTGAGGCAGGCAGAGGAACTGCTTGAGCCCTGGAGGCTGAGACTGCAGTGAGGCTGAGCCAAGAGTGTGCCACTGGACCCTAGCCTGGGGACAAGAATGAGACCCTATCTCAAAAAAAGAAAGAAAAGAAAAAAAAAGAAGGAAGGAACATTAATCTCTTTGTATATACCCATCAAAGCTTTTGGGTGACTAGGTCTCAAGGAGCAGTAATATTTTGAAAGAAATCTTAGTTTTTCTGAGCAATAGGTCTTAACAGTGGACTTAAAATATACAATAAACCATGCTATAAACAGATGTGCTTTGTTATTCCATTTATAGAGCATAAGCAAAGTAGACTTAGCATCATTCTTAAGGGCCCTAGGATTTTAAATGAGCCCTGGTTTCCACTAAAAATCGCCAGTTGCATTCACCCCTAACTAGAGAGTCAGTCCTTTAAAATTTTGAAGCCAGACATTGACTTCTCCTCTCTAGCTATGAAAGTCCTAGATGGCATCTCCTTCTAGTAGAAGGTGGTTTTATCTCCTGATAATCTGTTGTTTAATGTAGCCTCCGTCAATGCTCTTAGCTAGATCTTCTGGATCACAAGTTGCTGCTTCTCCATCAGCACTTGCTGCTTCACCTTGAGGTTTCTTTCCTTAAACCTAGCAAAGCAACCTCTGTTAGCTTCCAACTTTTCTTCTGCAGCTTCCTCACCTCTCAACCTTCATAGAATGGAAAAGAATCAGAGCCTTGCTGTGGATTAGGCTTTGGCTTAAGAGAATGTTGTGACTGCTTTGGTCTCCTCTCCAGACCACTCAAACTGTCTCCATACCAGAAATGAGGCTATTTTGCCTTCTCATTTATCATTTCTGTGTTCACTGAGTAGCACTATTTGGCATGAGATGTCTAACTTTTGACCTGTCTTGACTTTTTTTTTTTTTGAGTAGGAGTCTCACTCTGTCACCCAGGCTGGAGGGCAGTGGCACATTCCTGGCCACTGCAACCTCAACCTGCTGGGCTCAGGCAATCCTTCCACCTCAGCCTTCCAAGTTGCTGAAACTATAGGCTTATGCCACCATGCCCGGCTAACTTTTTGATTTATTGTAGAGATGGGGATCTCACCAAGTTGCCCAGGTTGATCTCAAATCCGTGAGCTCAGGCAATCCTCTCACCTTGGCCTCCCAAAGTGCTGGGATTATAGGTATGAGCCACTGCACCCAGGCTCTGTCTTGACTTTTGACATGCTTTCCTTACTAAGCTTAATCATTTCCAGCTTTGGATTTACAGTGAAAGATGTACAATTCTTCCTTTTTTTTTTTTTGAGTTGGGGTCTTGCGTTGTCACCTAGGCTGGAGTGTGGTGGCATGATCCCTGCAGCCTCTACCCTCAGGACTCAGGTGATCCTTCCGCCTCAGCCTCCCAAGTAGCTGGGACTACAAGTGCCTTCCATTACACCTGATTAATTTTTAATTTTTATTTTTATACAGACGAGTTCTCTCTATGTTGCCTAGGCTGGTCTTGAACTCCTAGGCTCAAGTAATCTTTTTGTCTTGGGCTCCCAGGGCTGGGATTACAGGTGTGAGCCACCATTTCTAGCTTTATTGGCCAAATCTCATTATTGTTCTGGCCTAAGGTGAAGGAAAGAGTTGAGTAATGGCCTGCTGGTAGAGCAGTCAGAACATACACAACACTTACTAAGTTCTCAGTCTTAGATGGGTGAGGTTCTTGACACCCCAAAACAACTACAATAGTAACATCATAGATCACTATCACAAATGTGATAACTGTGAAAAACTTTTAAAATATTGCAAGAATTGCCAAAATTTGACACCGAGACAAGAAGTGAGCACATGCTGTTGGAAAAGTGATGCTGTGGTTGCTACAAAGTTGTCACAAAATTTCAATATGTGAAAAACACAGTATCTGCAAAGTGCAATAAAGTGAAGCATAATACAATGAGTTATGGCTACATGTGCATGTATATAAAATATGTAAAGGTAACATAAAGAATATCTCTGATCTTTCAATACTAGTTGTATTGTTAAAGTTCACTATAATGTGTTTAATCATGCACAGCCACAAACTACGGCTACAAACTAGGCCTGGTGGGACAGCCTATGATTGCCTTCGACTGGGTAATTTGTAAACAACAGGAATTTATTTCTCACAGTTCAGAGGCTGGGAAATCCAAGATCAAGTCGCTGGCAGATTCAGTGTCTGGTGAAGGTCTTCTCTTCATAAAGGGTGCCTTTTCCGTGTCCTCACATGGCAGAAAGGGCATGGCTGCTTCCTTCAACCTTTTTTACAACGGCACTAAATCCACTTACAGCAGAGTCTTCATGACTTCATCAAATTCCAAAAGGCCCACCTCTTAATGCTATCACATTGGGTTCCGACATGTGAATTTTGGGGGGATAGCAACATTCAGACCATAGCCATGAGTTTCAATCTACTTTTTCCTCAATATTACTGAAACTTCTAGTTTAACATAATAGCCACCAAAATGATTAAGTAGGAAACAATAGGATACTATATATCGGGTAATTTCATAGACAATATATCCCTCATTTGTCACTTGCAATTTTCAGGTAGCTTTTGTCAGTCCAGGGTTCCTCAGCACTGGCACCATTCACATTTTGGGTCAGATAATTCTTTATTGTGGGGGGCTGTCTTGGGCATTGTAAGATGTTTAACAGTCCTTGGCCTCTACCCACCCCCAAGTTATAACCAAAAAATGTCTAAAGATATTGACAAATGTCCTCTGATGTGCAAAATTGTCCCCAGTAGAGAACTGCTGTGTTAGTCTTGTTTTAACAGAGGAAAAAACAAGCTCAGAGAGGCTTAGTACTCACCCAAGATCAGACAATAAGTCATGGTGACAACATTTAAATGCAACTTCTTCTGACTCCGTTGTGTCAATCTGTCTGTCAATTAAAAATCTTCCAAGGAGTTTTGTGAAACACTAATATCTGAGACACATTCCAGATCAAGCAACTTAACTTCTCTAAGGTATAGCAGGGCATTGGTGTTTTTGAAAATTCCCCAGGCTCACTCTAAGTGTCCCAAAACCCTATACCAGAAGATCCAGTGGGGTAAGATAGTCAGCAGGTGAAACCCCAGCCTTTACCTTTCCACACTCCCTATTCCCTAGTCTGTGCAGAGAAATCCCAGCCTTCCCAAGGTCAGAAAGTCATGGGGCGATCTCCCAGAAGTTGATCTTTAACCTTACCTGTCTTCTGGAAAACAAGGAAAAACAGTGAAAAGTGCACATAAGCTAGTACTCACAGTGCGATGATTTATCCACTGACCATGGCGATATTCCAAAGTCCCCCCTAACTCCCGCGTCAGTTGGCTTTTGTCAATGTAGCCATGGAGGTCAGAGACAGAGTTTAGCATGATGATCTGTAAGGGGAAAGAAAGAAAAAATGTATATGATCACTAAATCACTGATCATTAACTAGTAGCTCATTTAGAGTCTATTATTATTTAAACAATACTTTAATTTTTTAACTTTGTCTTATGAGACATTTATATTTAAAAATGGTTACTGTATCCAGTAGATAAATATTTTGAAGTCTGTTTCCATTTTTTTCCTATTGAAAAAGAAATACCCAAGTGTTGTGCAGTCTGTGACACAATGTTTACTTGGATCAGGGAGCACAGTTCCAGGCTACCTAGAACTCAGGTCTCCCTTTGTGTGAATTTTTAGTTCAAAGTTACCATGCCAAGGTATACTCTTCAGTTGCCAAAATCAAGTGCTGTGCTGAGAACTAAAACTCTGCAGTGAGAAGCTCAATAAAGGGTGGGATAGTGAATATCAAAATGAAATCAGAATTCGGGGCGACATACAGAGTATGCATCGAAAAGATTCACCACACTGATGCACCCACCCCCACCATGAAAATGTTTATGTGCTCCCAAGTTCACTTGCACAGAGGAGATCTGGAGATAACAGGGAGTGAGTTTTTATAAATGAACAATTCTGCTGGTGAACCAACACCCATGCACCTAGAGGAAACCAATACATCCCCAATGGCCCCTTTCCATCCTCTGCAGTCGTCCTGGCCTGGGCGTGGTTCTGGCTCTGTGATCCAGGGACCACACCATATCTTCCATTCATTCCTGACCAGGGACAAGGACTTCTTACTCCTCTTCACTGTCTGTTGATTATTTTGAAAATTAATTCTTGATCAGAGAACATAAGAATATGTTCTTTCTCTCACTATGATACAGTATTACTCAATGAATCAATCAACTTTGAAATGAGAAGACTATAAATTAGGGCCCGGAGGCTACAGGTAAAAACAAAATTATATGACAAAACTGATTTATTCTTTTAACAGGTATGTACTGAGCCGTTAATAAATACCAGACACTGAGGGATAAATAAATAGTAAGCTAGACAGACCCTGCCTTTGAGGAACTTGGGTTCCATGGGATTTGGTTACTATCTGTCACCACCTTAACCTTGACAGGTCCCATGCTTTGCTCCTTCATGTCTGAAAACAGTTTGGAAATGTAAAACCTTATTTTTATATCATGAGAGGGAGAAAAAAAATTCCTGAATCCATCTGTGTCTTTCCCACCTAAAAATTTTAGACCACTATTGGGAGTTTCAAAAAGGTCTTTAGTTTTTCCAAAATTAGAAATCTTAAGACAAGTAAAATTATCAAGTTAAAAATGTATCTTGCTTTTTGGAAAATTAGTTGCTATGGGAACACTTGAAATTAAAAATAACACCTATGTGCAACAATATATTGGGCAGAAGTAACTTTGTCCCAAGGCCTGGAGTTTCAGAAACCTGTCCTTCCAGGCTGTATAATTTCTGTTCCATTTAACTAAACAGGAGAGGGAAGAGTGATTTCTCACACTTGTCAGAACTCTGCTTTCTCATCTTAAGCTTTAGAGGACCAAAAAAGCTTTAGTGTTTTATAATGAGTGCTAAAAGTGAAAATTAAAAAGAAAAGAAAGAGCTGGGCTCGGTGGCTCAGCCTGTAATCCCAGCACTTTGGGAGGCCGAGGGGAGTGGATTGCCTGAGCCCACAGGTTTGAGATTAGCCTGGGCAACCTGGCAAGACCTCATGTCTACAGTAAATCAAAAATTAGCCAGACATGGTAGCACGTGACTATAGTTCCAGCTAGTTGGAAGGCTGAGGCGGAAGGATCGCCAGAGCCCAGCAGGTTGATGCTGGGGTGGCCGTGAGCTTGCCACTTCACTCCAACCTGGGTGACAGAGTGAGACAACTCAAAAGAAAAAGATATTAAAAGATTCAATACTGTTCAGTATTGATCTGCAGAGTCAAACCAATCCCATAATCAAAATCCCAGCAGACTTTTTGTAGAAATTAACAAGCTGGTTCTACAATTCACATAGAAATAGGAAAGACATAGAATAGGTACAACAATTTTTTAAAAGCAGGACAAAGCTGGATAATTTATACTACCTGATTTCAAGAGTTATTATAAAACCACAGTAATCAAGAGGGTAGTAATGGCAAAGGACAAATAGATCAGTGGAACAATGGAAGTGACCATATGGTCAGTTGATTTTTTTCAACTTGGTATTTTGAAGTAATTATAAATTCACAAGAAGTTGCCAAGACAGTACAGAGAGGTCATGTGTACCTTTCACCTAGCTCGCCCTCAACAGTTACACCTTACAAAATCATAGTACACAATCAAGACCAGGAATCGGATATGCTTATAACATGTGTTGTCATTTTCTCACAAGCGTCAGTTCATGTAACTACCAGTACAAGCAAGTTGCAGAACCATAAGATCTCCTTCGTGTGACCCCTTTCAGTCACACCCATCCCCATCCTTTAGCTCTGGCCAATGCTAATCTAATTTTTGACAAAACTGCACAGGCAATTCAATGGAGAAATAATTATATTTTCAACAGTTGGGCATGTATATGCAAAAAAAGGAAACTGGACCCATACCTATGAAGGCCGTCAGGATTAAAATGAAGTCTCTAGTGTTCAAACAAACAAACACTCAAGCAAAAATCCCTGACAGAGCCAGGGAAGACTGTGAAGACAGGGTTTTCACACTTGCGTGCCTGATAACAGAACTATCATGAAAGACTACAAAACCACAACCCTGCACAAAAGCCATCGAAACTTACACAAAAAATACTTCTCCAAGAACATCTGCCTGTCCAACCTCAGACTGGCATCATCCTTATTATGATCTTTATGGTCAATAATAGTTGCCTCTAAACAATTATGTAATTCTCCTCATTTTTCCTTTAAAAATCTGTCTCCCTTTAGCTTCCTGAATGCACATATAGTTTACTATAGCATGTGTATTCCCATTGCAACACTTTATTCCTGAATAGATATCCTTTTCTTTTAGAGGCCATCTCTCTTGGGTTTTGAAAGGACATAACATGGAGTCAATATACCCAATGAGCAGCCATTTTAAAACACTGCCAGCCGGCCTCGGTGGCTCAGCCTGTAATCCCCCACTTTGGAAAGCTGAGGAGATGGATTGGATTGCCTGAGCCCACGGGTTCGAGAACCCGTTTGGGCAACTTGGTGAGACCTCATCTCTACAATAAATCAAAAATCAGCCAGGTGTGGT